CAGAAACAGACCTCGCCCCTCCCTTGGCTCCAGGGATCTTGTGTGATCTGGTTAGCCAGAAGCTTCCCGTCCCCGTCATCCACCGTCCTTCTGGTCATGGGGTCACTGACTTGAGGACCATTCCTGCTGGCTCTCGCGCTGTGTGGGTGGGGTCCGTTTGGACTCCGTTTCCACTGGGTTCTGATTTTCATTAAATGTTATATTGGGGCATGAATATTGTCTTTATTCTCAGGAGACCCCTTTCCTTTGGAGTTCTTAATTGTGCAGCCAAGTATTTGGAAGCAAACCAGGGGGTGGAACCTCCTCCATCTTCTTCTTAAGAGAGTGAAATATTCTGGGTATGGGATGCATAAGCAGAGAAACTTTTTTTTTCTTTTTGGGTCACACCCAGTGATGCTCAGGAGTTACTCCTGGTTTTCTGCACTCAGGAATTACTCCTGGTGGTGCTTGGGGGACCATATGGGATGCTGGAAATCGAACCTGGGTCGGCCACGTGCAAGGCAAATGCCCTACCCGCTGTGCTATCACTCCAGCCCCAAACAGAGAAAATTTTTGTACTTCTTCTTCCTCTGGTTGTTGTTGTTGCTATTGTCATCGTCATTGTCTTCCTCCTCCTCCTCCTCCTCCTCCTCCTCCTCCTCCTCCTCCTTTTCCTCTTCCTCCTCTTTCTCCTTCTCCTTTTTCTCCTTCTCATTCTCCTCCTCCTCCATAGTTTTACTGGAGCTTATTTAGAGAGATGTGAAGGGAGAGAAAGGGAGAACTGTGCGTTTGAGAGAGCACAGGCTGCTCCACAGTGCAAGTAGGCAGCAAAGAGACAGAGACAAGCGACACGTGTTCAAGGGGCAGCTCAGGCCTGAAGAGCGAGCCAAGGAAGGCGCCTTTGAGAAGCTTGTGAGCCTGCCCCGAGAGGCCTCTCAGCGCCCTGTGGGTGGACCTGCCCAGGTGCCCCGTCTGGTCCAGAAGAACCTGGTGTCTGTACAGGGAACTCGTTCCATCACAGTGAAGGGAAAGAACAAGGCGAGGGTCCAGCAAAGACCCAGTTGTCCAGTACTGCGTCCTGGACCCATATCGCCTTGCACATCCACAGGGGCCCGGGGCCTTGCCTCTCCCACGGGAACACACAGGGGAGCTTGGTTGGCGGTGGGGATGGAGCCCCTTGACCCAGCAGGCGGGTATCTGGGCCCGGCTGTCACGGCTCTATCACGTGCACGCTCGGGCACATGGGCCCTGGGTTTATCTGCACCATCGCATTTTGAAAAAGTGTTTTGAATCCCTTCATTCATCTTCTTGTCATTGTTTTCCAGAATAGTTTTCACTCAAAGGCTAGAACATGCTTTTAAACTGACCTTTTAAACTTGGAAACGCTTGTCCACAAAGGGACGCATGAAAGGAACAATAAGCGCATTCCCCAAGTGTGAGCATAGCGGCCTGGGAAACGGCCGGAGTCTCCCGAGCGGGCTGACGGATGGCGCTGGGGAGGGGGCAGGTCTCATGACCGGGGGAGCCCGGCGTGCCCAGGGCACCAGGAACACCCCCACCCTTGCACTGATGCTCGTGCTGCCCGCGTGCTCTGCTCTTGGGGCCCGGGGGGGGGGGGGGCGTGGCGGGAGGGGGTGTGCTGGGCCAGGTGGACGCGTCCCCACACTCTGCCAGGGTCCAGGGCGGTTAGTGGGCTGTCTGGCCCTGGGACGTCTGGGTTGGGTGGCCTTGTGGGGGTGAGTCAGCTCCTGGGAGGGGGCTCTGCACCCACTTAGGGAGAACCAACTGGCGCGGGGGGTGGTCTACCCCAGGAATGTGCACCCAGACCAGTCGCCCCCAACTTCGAGGCTCAAGACAACAGCAGCCACTTCTCTCACCGCTCTGGAGGGACCGGACGCTGAAGCCAGTGCCACGGGGCCAGTCGCACAGGTGTGGGCAGGGTGGCTGCTTGGTGGAGGCAGCGGGAGACCCTGCCTTTCCGAGCTGCCAGTGGCCGTCCACCACCCTAGCTGGGGGCCCCCTCTTCAGAGGCCTCACCACTCGCCATCCCCTCTCCTCCGTCTCCAGCTCCACCAGAACCCTTCATCCCCCACCCCGCAGCACCCCCTCCCTTTGGTAACATTGGCGGGTCTCAGATGCTGTGACTGGAAGACCCTGTGCCATCCTGATCACCACATTCGTGTCACACCGTGCCCCAGCCTGCTGCCTGGATAGCACCTCTGGGGGTGTGGGCCTGCTGGCCCCCAACCACCACTGGCTGTGAAAAAATAAAACACACCCGTTTGCAGGTTCCTGGGTTAAGGTCAGGATAGTGACCGGGGCAGGGGGGCACTATCCGGCCTCCCACACCGTGGAGGTTCACAGCTGTGTTCATTCCTTAGCCGGGTCTCCCGTGGGCCAGGAGCACTGGCCCAGGCTGGCAGGGAAAGCCAATGAGGGGCTATGTGCCGTGGGGCAGGGATGTTGCTCACATGCCAGGTGGGTTTCTGAGGGATGCGCCAGGCTTGTTAACAGCACCTTGGATGGGGAGGGGTGCAGGTGGACCGGGAGGGCACAGGGAGGAGGCCGGTCTTGTTGCTCCAGGGGTCCCACGGGAATGCCAGGAGTGCACAGGCGCCCTTGGGGCCAGGTTAGACTTGGAAGGAAGCTGTGTGCGCGGTCACTGCCGGAGTCTTGAGAGTCGCTGTCGGGTTCGCATTCTTCCTGCGCTGGCTCCCGAGAGCGAGCTCCACGGGCCGGGCTCAGACCCCACACGCGAGAGGCTCGGGTTTGATAGTCAGCCTCCCACAGGTGCCTGAGCACAGAGCCAGGAGTAGTGCCAGAACACTGCTGAGTGGCCCCAGAGCCAAAAAAAAAAAAAAAGCAAACGGGAAAACTCTAGAAACCTGAAGTCCCGGCTTCCACTTCTCTCCTCACAGCTCCCCGGGGACCTGGGACACGTCTGCCTAAGTCTCTTGAGAGAGGCTGACGAGCACTCTGTGCAGTGCCCGGTGGTCGGAGAGACGGGACTTGTCACAGTCCCGGTTATTGGCACCACGGGGCCGGGGCCTTGGGGGAGCCTCGGCGGTGACACGGTTGCACTTGTCCCTAGAAAGATGCCCCCAGCCTCCAAGTGATGGTGTGGGGTGCCCCGGGATCCCAGCCAGGAGATTCTTGCAGTGCTCTGGGCGAAAAAGTGTCAGACCCGGCTACCCACGAGGCCATCTGCCATAGGAATGTCCCAGAGATGCCTTTGCTGCAGCTCTTTCCTCTCTGAAGAGGCCAAGGCAGGTTTCAGAGGCTACCTGCCTGTCCCCCGGCCCCCCAAACCTTCACAGTGGACCCTGAGGGGAGCAGGGACAGATACTGGCTCTGGTGTCTCGGTGAAGTGGTGGTAACAGGAGGGAGAGACAGGGTGACACCTGCCCCCCTGGGGAAGCGAGAACTGGGCCCGCTGGAGAATGTGCTGAGGTGCAGGGTGCTCGGAGCTGCGCCCCTTTCTCCTCCTGCCCCCCTCCCTTAGGCCCTCCTTGGGCATGTTAGTCGGCCCTTCCCTGTGCAGACACAGTGGAACCCTGGACCACAGGGGTGTGGGAGTGAGGAGAGAGGGCAGGGATGAGTGGGGGAGGGCGGTGGGCGCCTCAGGACTGCGCACCCCTCCCGTGTACGGGAGAAAGCTGGCGCCCTGGAGCACGGCAGCCCATGATCGATCGTTAATCATCCCCCCTGCAAAGATGTCGCAGGACAATAGATTTCAATGCCACATTCAAAGGAGCTGTCACTTTATAGCTTAGTAAATGGTTTCCAGGGAGTGATGTCATGGTGTTGTTTTTTTTCAACACATCCTTTTTTCCTTCTTTTTGAACTGCACCGGCAGTGCTCAGGGGACCATAGGGGGTGTGGGGGATTGAACCCAGCGTGTCAGCTGCATGCAGGAAAGCACCCTACCCACCATACTATCTCTCTAGGTCCTTAATGCCCTCACACAGATGACGTGACTTTGCCTCACTTGAATGCATGCTGGAGGGGACAAAAAAATAAATAAATAAAACGAAACTAAAAAGGGCTCAGACATAAGAATAAATCAGAATCATAGGGGGAAACTATCAGTAATGGGCCAGAGAGATACAGTATGGGGGATTAAGGTGCTTGCCTTACACACAGCCAGCTCTGGGTTCGATCCTCGGCACCACACCTGAGCACTTCCGGGAGTGATCCCTGAGCACCGCCCAGTGTGGCCCGAAGCCCTGTTTCTCTGCTAACATGATGTCTTTGGTACCAACGCCTCATTGGCATGGGGGTCAGCCTCCAAGCAGTCCTCAGGCCTTAGGGGCCACTGGGTGGTTCTTGGCTGACTGGGCGGGAGGTTGAGTGCTTGGGTCCAAGGATCTGGTTCTGCTCCGACCCCACGGTGCTGCAGACCCCCAGGACAGCCTTGCTGTGCACGGGTTCTCCAGAGCCCCGCTGGAGGTGCTCGGGTTAGCGGGACAGGCGATGCCAGAGTTTGGACTCAGCTCTCTCTGTGGTGGAGCTGACTCCTGGGCCGGGGTTCTTCTTCCGCCTGACTGCTGACAGCTTCAGGAACACCCAGAGGCAGGGGAGAGAGAGACAGAGGCTGGTGGGTTTGTGTATAGTGTGTACATGTGCATGTGCGTGTCTGCGTGTGTATGTGCGTGCGTGTGTGTGTGTGTGCATACGTGCCTGTGTGCATGTTTGCCTGTGTGTGCGCATGTGTGCATGTGTGTGCATTGTGCATGCGTGTGTGCATGCGTGTGTGTAGATGTGTGCACATGTGTGCGTGTGTGCGCATGCATGTGTGAGTGCACGTGTGTGCATATGTGTGCATGTGTGCATGTGTGTGCATGTGTGTGCGTATTTGAGTGTGTGCGTGCGCAAGCGTGGAGGTGACTTGGCCCCATTCCATGTGGGGTCGGCCAGGGAGCAGAGAGCCTGTCCCCCACCCCCTCCCCGCACTCCCCGCTCTCTTCTCTGCTCCGTGTTTCTGGTACACTGATACGTTTTTCCCCCTTTTCTTTCTCCAGGAAAAACCTGTCGCCACCATCCAGTAAGGCTGGGGGAGAGCTGGACACCCTGGAGCTCGGTGGGTGAGGCCGTGCCTGTGCCTCTGCACTCCCTGGGGTCTCTGTTGACTGGGGGGGGGGTGCTCAGGGTCCCTCCTGATTGGTGGGTCGGGATGGGCTGGTCACACCTAGCCTAGTCTCCTCTCCCTCCCCTCCCCTCCCCTTCTCCCTTCTTCCTCTCTCCTCCCCTCTGTCCTTTCCTCTCCTCCCCTCTCTTCCTGTACCCCCCCTCCCCTCCTCTCTCTCCTCCACTGCCTGCCTTGCTCTCCAGGTCTGGCTGTTGGTGGGTCCACACTTGGCCGGGCTAGAGGACCCCTTTCTACATTTGGAGGGTCACACAGAGAGCTAGTGAAGACCTCTGCTCCTGGTCAGACTTTTAGGTCAGCTCTGCCCGGCAGAGCCCCCTTGACCCCTCATGGAAACCCTCTGGGCAGCTGCCCGAGGCCGCCGTATGCTTGGACTTGTGATGGGCACAAGCTCCAGGCTCCAGTGTCCTGTCTGGTGTGTTCTCAGTGTGACTGTGCTGCCGAGACCGTCCCCACAGCTGGGCAGTATGGCCCACCTGTTCTCTGGAAGCTGCTGCTCCCGACTCTCCTCCCCCCAGCCCCTCCAAGGATGGCCGTGCTCGGGCCGTGCTCAGGGCTGGGCCAGGCAGTCTGACGCTGGCCTTGACGGAGCTGAGGGGCAGGAACAGCCTCAGGAGGAGGCCAAGCGCAGGCTCCTGGGGCTTGAGGAGTCAGGGATGGCAGCGGAAGCGCGAGCATCTACAGAGGGCATCTGCCCGGGCACTGCAGAGTTGAGAGCAGGGCCGGAAGGCACAGCGGACCCACCTGTGAAACGCTGCACTTGGAGGCTTTCCTGACCGGAGTCGCGGGCTGGGCACCCAGCCTGGGGAGGAAGGTTCTCGCAGTGTCTGTGCTCTCTGCAGGAGGCCCAACCCTGTGGGGGATTGGCAAAGGGAAAGGAGAGGAAAACTGAGCCCTGGCCGCCAGCCACCAGGAGGGTCTGCGGAGGACCTTGGGCGGGGTGGGGTTGGGTTAGGGCAGGTGACCTCCCCACACAAGTCACTTTTCTCCCATTCGTTTTGGTAACTGCGTGTTAGCCATGCCCGTGCCAGAGCAAATCCCACACTGCACAGAGCAGCGAGACGGAGGGAAAGCGGCGGGGAGGGCTGGGGGCGGGAGGCAAAGAAAGAGCAGGGATCATCGGAAGCTCTCTGCTGGAACCAAGGTCCATGCTGGGTTCTAGAAGTTTCCATAGCTGAGCGTTGAAGGATGGGCCAATCAGCTGCCTCAACAAAGGCACAGAGAGAGAGAGAGAGAGAGAGAGAGAGAGAGAGAGAGAGAGAGAGAGAGAGAAGGAGAGACACACCCAGGAGGGAAGGAGGGAGGGGAAAGAGAGGAGAGAGAGAGAGGAGATAGATGTAGGGAGGGAGAGAGAGGCTGGCTGAGGCTGACTGGGGAAAGACATGGCTGAGGGTGATAATACTGGGCCCTAGAGCCAGGAGTGCTGTGCTGGGTGGGTGAGCACTGCTCACGGCCCTGGAAGGAGCCTGGAGGTGGGGTGCTGGTAGTTGTCTTCAGGGTTCCCTTTGGAGGTGTCTGACTTTGGCAGGGCACATGGAGGAGTCCAGAACTCCTGTCTGTCTGGGAGACAGATATGGGGGTTTCAGACCCCGAGCAGATGCCCCCGTCCTCAAAGGAGCCTCCTACCTCAAAGGAATCATCGCTGCCTCCTGCCCTGACAGCTGCCTGCCCTGTTTCTAAATTTTTTTAAATTTCTGCTCATTTTTATTTATTTATTTATTTATTTTGCTTTTTGGGTCACACCCGGTGATGCACAGTGGTTACTCCTGGCTCTGCACTCAGGAGTTACTCCTGGCAGTACTCAGGGGACCATATGGGATGCTGGGAATCGAACCCGGGTCGGCCGCGTGCAAGGCAACCACCCTACCCGCTGAGCTATCTCTCCAGCCCCTGCCTGCCCTGTTTCAGCCGTCATGGCACACACGTTATTTGTGGGACTGTCTCCCCTCACACTGAGCCCCTCCCCCACGCCGAGCCCCTGGGATGCGGAATGGTGCTTTACTGGTGCCTGCTGGCTTCTGCCCGCGGCCTAGGGTGCTGGTGGGGTGTCCAGTGTGTGTGTCCTGTTGGTGGGGCACCAGGGCTGGGGCAGGTGAGGCCTGGGAGCCGGATCAGCCGGGGGGCTGGAGCCAGGTGGTGTGTGGAGGGGGTGGGGTTTTGGTGGGGTGCAGGGCTGGAGGCTGATGTCCAGACTGCGGCTGGGGCGCTGGGGAGAGGCGCAGGGCGCTGCTCCCAGCCCGGCCCCCTCCTCCAGAGAGCCCACGATGAGGGAGCCCAGCACATCTCTTGCATCTTTTCTTTCTTTTAGTTTATAGTTTTGGGGCCACACCAGCGATGCTCAGGGTTACTCCCGGCCCTGTGCTCAGGAATCTCTCCTGGCAGTGCTCAGGGGACCGTATAGATTCCCTGGGTCAGCCACTTCCAAGGCAGACGCCCTCCCTGCTGTGCTGTCTCTCTGGCCCTGCTCGCATCTTTTGAACCGGAACTTGCCGCCGGGCCTAAAGAACTGCTTCTGCAGTCGCTGGTGTCACCCATGGTTTTGCCTGCTGGGCCAGGGCATCCTCGGGCACCGCTTCATTTCTTCCCCCTCACACGGACCCCGCCAGGTGTGGCCGCATGCTCTGTGCTGCCCGAGCCGTTTCCTCTCAGGCTCCTGCTCAGGGCGCTCGGGCCCTCCAGAGACCCCCGGTTTCTCTCAGGGTCCCTCTGGGTACACCCCCCCGCACCCCCACCCCCACCCCCGCCTTATTTCACAGGAGCTGGTGCAGAGCGTTTAAGCCCTGGCTCCCTCCCAGCCAACCTCAGACTAAACAGAAGCTTTCAAATAGGCTTAAATACCCCCCTCTGTGCCTGTAGGAGCCAGGCTGGCCCGGGCAGCTCAGCTGACCCGCCCTCTGCTCGGGCCTGACTCCTAGCACTGAATTCACCCCTGTCTCTGCTTCCTAGGGAGCTTGTCAGGATGGATTCCTGCAAGCCTGCTCACTGGCCTCCCTCTCCCCTCCGCCACCCCCCCATCCTTCCTCCTTCCTCCCTTCCCCCCTCCGCCCCTCTCTCTTGCCTTTGCTTCCTCAGCGCCTCCCCTCTGGACGCTTCTGTCCTAAGCAACCTTCCTCTTGGGTTTAATCTTCCTCCTTGGCGCGTGTCCTTGCAGGAGGCCCGGCATTGTGTGCGTGATTACGGGGTCGCATAGATGGAACTCGGGTTGTGGTTCTCATTTGCTGTCTTCCTTCCCCTCCAGTCCACCCTGTTTCCCAGACCCCGACCCCCTGTGCATTGTGGGGCGAGCATCTGCTTCGGGTTTTGTACGGCCAACGGTCTCCGGGGCCTAGTTGAGATCTCTCTCCTCAGAACGAGCCCTCATTTACGAGCCACATTCCAAACTTATTTTAGTTTTGCTTCTGTCATTACGAGGGGCCGGGGCAGGGAGGAGCGGGGAATGCGTGTGTTGTTTTATTTTTGTTTCACGGTGGCTGGAACGGAGCCAGGACCTGACACGTGCAAGGCATGTGCTCTGCCAGGAGTTCGCTCCCTGGCCCTAGATTGCAGTTTGAGTTTAAAAAAAAAAAAGTTCACCCTGGATGTGACGTTTGTCTCCTTCTCCCTGGACTGGGACTCTAGGAGCAGACGTGGGGCTGGGCCTGGTCCCCCCAGCAGAGAAAAGAAGACTGTAGAATAACCCACAAGACGGGGGTTATTGCTCCCCCCGCAGGTCCCTTGGGGATGGCCCCGTTTGGTGCCGCCAGCTTAGCTCACCTGGGTTGTTTACACTTGAATTCTGCAGCGGATTTTTTGGGACAAATTTGGTGGCAAGTGGGTGCACTTGTGATGAAGCGGAAAATTTAGAGGCAGGAGCTGGAAACTCGAGGCAGGACCTCTGAGTGTCCTGCTCTCGGCGCTGGACAGGGATGAATGGGTCGTAAATCACAGAGTTATGACCAGAACAGAGCAGGCGAGTGAGCTGGATCAGGTTGCTGGAGCAGGCACAGAATCGGGGTCACGGGAGCAATCAGTAAATGTCAAGATGGAAGTGAAAACGAGTTGTATTAGCCGCTGACGGCATCCATCACGCTGCGCGTGTTACCGCGGTGCGGAGAAGCCCTGTGGGTGTTGGGTGAGCGTGTGCTCACAGGCGCGGGTGGCCTGGAGCTAGCCTCTGTGACCATCCATGAGCTGCCTTCGAGGCTCGGCCCCTGGGGGCGGCAGCCAGGTGTGGTCCACGTGTGTGACAGCTGGGTGCTCCCTGCATACTTCTTGGTGCTGCTGTTTCTTGGTCTGGTCTCTGTGGTGGCAAGAGGGAGACTGGGCCAGTCCAGGGGCTGCAGGAGTCGGAGTGGAGGAAACTTGTGTGGGCCTCATGCACCCCTCTGTGGAAGTCTGACTGGGGGTCTGGAGAGCACATGGCTGACCCCGGTTTGAAGGCTGACAGGCATGGCCCCCGGAGAGTTGCTGGAGGTTGCCATGGAGACCCCCAAGCGTCTCCAGGTGTGGCCCCAGGTAGCTCAGGTTTTCCCAGCCACCATCCTGCTAGTCAGGAATCACCAGAGGTTGGGGCCGGAGCCATCCCACAGTGGGGAGGGCATTTACCTTGCACGCAGTCACCTGGGTTCGATCCCCAGCACCCCATATGGTCCCGAGCACCACCAGGAGTAATTCCTGAGCACGGAGCCAGGAGTAAGCCCTGTCTACTGCTAGTGTGGTCCCAAAAGGCCAGAACAACAACAATAACAACAAAAAAGAGATGTGGAATGTTAACCCTAACATTACCCTAACTCTAACCTCTAACCCCAACCCTAACCCCAACCCCAGCCCCTAGCCCTAACCCTAACCCCTAACCCTAACTCCTAACCCTAAAAAGAAGAGAGAGAGAGAGAGAGAGAGAGAGAGAGAGAGAGATGGCTGGAGGTTGGAGGGCAGTTAGGAGTCTAGCTTTCTCTGATACCATCACTGCTTGCCGCCGGCCTGACTTGTTACTTCACTTCTCTAAGCCTCAGTTTGCTCATCTGTGAATAGGGGTAATCGGAGTCGGTCTGCAGTGGGCCTTTTGGAGCCTGGGTGCCCAGGCCCAAAGGGTGCAGATGCAAGGCAAAGCGTGGGTGATCCACCGTTGCAATCATTATTTTAAACATATGTCAGGAGGGAGGTGTTTTCTGTCCTGATTCCCCCCCTCTTGGCGCTGGTTCTCAGGGAGGCAGACTTCCTTCCCGGCTCTGGGTGGTCAGTCTGGGTGAGACTCCTGAGCCAGCAGCAGAACTTTCCAGTGGACCTGCCAGCTTCTGAGTGGCACCACCTAGCATGGGGCAGCTATGGGGAGCCCCCAAGTGCGGGGCTGGGGAGGGGGAGGCGGGGAGACGGAGGGAGACCCCCGTGGGTCAGACCTCCCTGGTGTGCTGTCGTGTCCAGTGTTCGAGGCGGTGTGGTGTGGAATTGACGTGGCCGCTGCTGTCTTGCAGAGGATGTGGAGGATGAGCTGATCGAGGAGGAGGTCATCCGCTGCCCTGTCCCATCGGTTCTCCAGCTGCAGACGGCATCTCGGCCCATCGACCTCTCAGTGGCCAAGGTCAGGGCTTCGACCGGGCCGTGCAGGGAGTGTGGTGTGGGCCGGGATTGGAGTGGGAAGGGGTGAGGCGATGCTGATTTCTGTGGCTCAGCCCATTACACTAGGACCTCTGGGGCGTTGTGGAATGGAAATGTGGGCGTGTTGGGGAAGAACGTCTGAGGGGAGGGAGGAGTGTCCGGCCCTGGCAGTGCCCTCTCCCTGGTGGAAGCAAAAGGTGAGAATGAGGCCTGGCACATTCCGAGTTGCGGTTCTTGGCACCAGAGCATCTCCATGACCACTGCCACTGTCACTGTCCTCCTGTTCATCAATTTGCTCGAGCAGGCCCAGTAACATTGTGAGACTCGTTACTGTTTTTGGCATATCAAAAACATCATGGGTAGCTTGCCAAGCTTTGCCTTGCGGGCGAGATACTCTTGGTAGCTTGCCAGGATCTCCAAGAGGGGCGGAGGAATCGAACTCGGATCAGCCATATTGGCTGCGTGCAAGGCAAACACCGTACCTGCTGTGCTATCACTCCAGCCCATCTCCACAACCTTATTATTGTTTTTTGGATCACAGGGGTCACTCCTGGCTCTGGTCACTCCTGGGCACTTAGGAATTACTCCTGGTGGTGCTCGGGGGACCATATGGGATGCTGGGAATAGAACCCGGGTTGGCCGCGTGCAAGGCAAATGCTCTACCTGCCTGCTGTGCAATCACTCCAGCCCCTCTTCACAGCCATAGAGCTGTCCGTGGCACCAGCCCTGCTCTGGCCTCACACACTGGCCTCGAACACTGCCCAAGGACTCCAGCACCTCCTGTGAGAACCCCCACCCCCTCAGTCACGGGACATGAGGGCAGCAGTTCCTGGCCTTCGAGGCTTCCTCTGCATGCATGCCCCAGGGGTCCTCAGAGCCAGACCCATGCCATGCATTCCCATGAGCGGTGCCCACTGTCCTCCCACCTGTCCCCAGGGCCTCGCAGGAAAGCACATAGTAGTAAGGGACACACTTGACCCCTTATTTTCTGGCTCACTAGGAATTCACAGTGAGCACGGAACTTAAAAAAAGTTGAAGGTGGACTGGAGCCATAGTACAGTGGGTAAGGCACTTGCCTTGCATGTGGATGACCCAGATTTGATTCCCAGATCCCATAGGGTCCCCTGAGTCTGCCAGGAGTGATGCCTGAATGCAGAGCCTGGAGTAAGCCCTGAGCACCACTGGATGTGAGCTCCAAACCAAAACAAGACCGAAAATTTTCTAGAGATTCTCTTTCCTCCCATGAAGTCCAGATACACTCCAGTGGCCCCAAGTCTGGGAGCAGCGCTTGGTTCTCTGGACCCCCAGGATATGGCTCTTTGCAGGAACCACTCATGCCTGGAAAAACCCCCTCTTAGGTCCCTGGACATGCCCTGGTAGCCGCATCCCCAGGAGCGGCTGGAGACAACAGTGTCCACCCAGCAGGGAGGAAGCCAGTGGTGGGTCCAGGCATGTAATGCCCAGTGCCCAGCTTGGGGCCCGGGATTTGCTGCCTGTCTCTCGGATATTGAATAAAAACTAGCATAGACAACATGTAAACAAATAAGCTTCCTTGTTCCAGTAAAACTTTATTTACAACAACAAGTAAGGGGCCTGCTGGCTTTGACCAGTGGGCTCAGTTTGTCCAGCCTGTCCAAAACAGTGTTTCTCTAGCTGCGTCCTCTCTGTCCAGCTGGTTGGCCCCTTTCTCACGCGCAGCCCCGCGTTGAAGCGCTTTTCACCTGTGGCCCTCTTGGAATATCTGAGGGGCTCCCGTTGAGAAGCCCCCCGCCTAGAGCATTGCTGCTCAGACACGGCGACCTGTTAGAAGCACGAGAAACTCTGAAAGTGTCCGTGGCGTGTCAGCGGCCCCCAGGTTCTGATCCAGACCGTGAGTTTCCCTTAGGGAGCCCGATGTGAAATCAAGGTTTCCCTCGTAAAGCGAAGGTTTGTGATTCAACTTTGCCCTTGGGAACCTTGGAGGGTGCTGGCCGGGGTCAGTGCCGGCCTGGCTCCCAGATATCGCAGAGGTAAGATCCTCGGGGTTGACGTTTTAGTGCCTCAACTATGAGAAGAATGGTTTTGCAAAATAGAACTCAGAGATAAGCCCTGTTGAGAAACACGGAGGGGCCCCGTGCTGGAGTCCAGGGGCGGCCCCCCAGGGCTGCATATCAGCAGCGTACTTGTTTACCGTCCCGACAGGACATCAAGAACGTTCTGTTTGGCTCCAGCTTCTGCTGTTTCAATGAAGAATGGAAGCTCCAGAACTTCACCTTCAGCGAGGCGGCCTCCTTAAAGTACGGCATTGTGCAGAACAAGGTGGGCCTGCCCTTCCCCTCCTCTGCCTGGGCCAGGCACCCACGCGCCTCAGGTCGGGTCTCCTGAGTCGTGCCCAGCGTTTTGTAGACAGGAGCGGGGAAGGACACCCCAGGCATGGCGGTGAGGATGGGACTGACCAGGGCCCGCGGGCACCGGCAGAGGAGTCAGCGCTTACAGCTGGGGGGAGGCGTGCTTAGCCCTGGGGGGAGGGGGCGGGGCATGGAGGCAGAGTGGAAGGCACCTTTCCCAGGGTCCCCTCTAAGGGCCCTTCGAAGGGCAGCTGCAGGAAGTGACCGGACGTAGCCAGGGCAGCTCAGACACGTTCCATTTCTTACATCCTGGGGCCCTCCCGCTGCCCCCACACAGCCTGAGGAGTTGCCCACCAGCCTCTGTCCACTGTGGCCACGCTCAGCACGGCCGACTGCACGCCTGAGTCAGCCAGGCACGCACCACCAGCTGTCCTGAGCAGCCTGGACTTGTCGGCACTGACGGGGGTAGACTCCTTAGGGTGCCTGCTCACCCACATGGGAGGGGACGGTGACAGACCAAAAGGGAGCCAAGGCTGGCCTCAGCTGGGCTCACGAGAACAGATCTTCATTTCTAGCCCAGGTGTTCAGGGGAGGCGTCCTGGAGGAAGAGGCCTTTCAGGTTGGGTCTTGAGGGCCACCGTAGACACTTGTGGACATGGAAGCATTTCCCTGGGGGAACTGGAGACTTGGTGGGTCATCCTTGCTTTACCCCTGATGGGTTGTGAGGACTCAGGTTTGCCCCTTTTTTTAGTGATGGGCTCAGGGGAGGGGGCTGTTACCCCCTCAGTGACTCGGGGTCAGTCAGGGAGCCCCCGGCCATGTGGGGGACCCTGGAGGAAGACTCGCCACCCTTCCTTTGCAGGGGGGTCCCTGCGGGGTCCTGGCAGCGGTGCAGGGCTGTGTCCTGCAGAAGCTCCTGTTTGAGGGCGAGGGCAGAGCCAACGGCGTGCGGTAAGTCAGCTCCTCCCTCCACACCTCTGCAGGGCCCAAGGAAAGTGGGAGGCTGCCCCACCTCTGCAGGACGCCAGCGAGCTCCGAGCAACTGCTGGATGGCATGGGAGTCTGGGCCCCCCACAGAGGGTGGCCGCTGCCCATCTGCAGGAGGAGCCAGAGTCCGCCTCCTGCCCGTTACCTGCCGCTGCGCACAGCTTGCCCACCGCCCGGGGAGAGCTCTGGGAGGGTGTCCTCGGGGGAGCGGCAGAGGAGACTCTGGGGGTTGCTGTCGAACGAACACATGGACGGATGAATGTGGTGTGGACGTGGGAGGGACAGGAAGGGTATTCTGGGAGGAGGACAGCTGGTGGGCCGAGGAGCCGCCGTTAGTGTTTGAGAGGCAGGTGAGACCCAGAGGGCCCGTGAGTCTGGGCCCCTCCGCTGACGCATCTCAGCTGCTGCCCCTTGTGCTGCTTCTGCACCTGGACCTTGGACATCGTGGGGCAGATGGGGGCTGGGGTCCTTTCCTACATGCCGGGATGTGGGGTGGGGTCCTTTCTACAGGCTGGGATGTGGGGTGGGGGTCCTTCCCTACAGGCTGGGATGTGGGGTGGGGGCCCTCCTCCAGGGAGGGCCGAGCGGTGCTCCTGCTGGCCCGGCGGCATGTCTTGCTGAGGTGCCTGAAAGCACCTGCCTCCTTGGGAGCCCCTGAGCGGGAGGGCTCCCTGTGGTGTGCCTGAGGCCCTGGGGTGGGGAGCTGCTCGGAGTTGCCTCATGACCCTGGAGAACAGATTCTTGGAAAACAGCAGGGAGACGTGACGGCAGGGGAGGGGGCGGAGTCCAGGCTTCCTGGCAGGCCCCGTGTCCCCACTGCGGGTGGGCTGGCTCCGCGGAGACAGACTTCTGTGTTTTTCCATTCGAGGAGGGGTTTGGGGGACCCCTGTGGGCTGGGAGAATGCTCAGACAAAGCAGCCGTTCGCTTACCTCGGTCCTCCTCCTCTGCAGTGGGGCGATTGAGGGCTGCCGAGGGCAGGCACTGCCTGGACCCTTCTGGATGGGACGCCAGGCCAGTCCTTCATTTCACCCCAAGAAGGTGCCAATAAGCTTCCCTTCCCTTCATCATTCCCCAGTTCCATTCCTTGGAATTTGCTAGAGACCCAGGCCTGTGGGCGCAATCGTGGGAACAGGTGAGGCTGTTCAGAGATAATCAGGGTAGAAACATCCCTTGACTGAAATTCCTGGGTAGCTGAAGCCAGCATAGAGTGATCAGTCCCTGATGCGCACCTTCGTCCCTGCCTCTCTCCTGTGGGCCTCCCTGGAGGGAGAGTTCGGGCAACTCACCACAGCACCTTCCTCGTGACAGTCATCTGTCTGTGAGCGTGCACACACACACACACACACAGAGGCACACAGTAGGCACACGTGCACACAGTGCACACGCACACACTGCATGCATATATGGTGCACACACACACACACATGAACACATACGTACATATATGACACCTACACGCATTGCACACACATGCACATATGCCCACACAGCACACGTGGGCAACACAGGTAGGCAGCCTACACACAGCACACATGGACCCACACAACATACACATGCACAGGTACACACATCACATATGTGTGCACGTAGACATGCAGACATGCCCACACACTGCACATGCGTGCATACAGCACACGGCCCTGTGGAATGATGCTCAGGGGCACCTGGTCCTCACCACATGCTCACCCACACCGCGCGTCCATGGGAAAGAGAAACTCAGCTGGGCCAGGGCATCCCCAGCGTCTCAGAGCCAGGCAGAGAGCCCAGTTCTGACCACTGTACATGCCCCGACCTGTCTCGTTCTCGGGAGAGTGGAGTCTCAGAAGAGCAAGTCAGGGTGGAGTGACCAGCAGAGTTCCACAGGAAGCCAAAAGGAGAGAGAGAACATTAGCGTCACCTCCAGGAGCCCAGAAGGTCTGTGATCAGAGCTGAGTCAAGGACCCAGCCAGGCCCAGACCTTGGGATGGGGCTTCCTGGGGCCTGAGAGATGGGCTGGAGGTCAAAGCCACAATGACCTTTTGCTTGTTTTCAGAGCTCAGGGCTCAAGGTAATGCATCCCCAAGCCCTCACTGCTGCTGCCTTTTATTTATTTATTTTTTTAAGTTATTACTGTGTGGTCCTGAGAGCATCATTTATGCTCTGTGCTTCAGTCTCCTCCATTTTAAAGGATCAAACAAGCAGCCCTTTCTTCATAGGGTTGTTTTTTGTTTTTTAACCTGCGTGCAGGGGCCAGTTTGGGGCCATACCTAGTAGTGCTCAAAACTTCTTCCCAATTCTGTGCTTAGGGATCACTCCTGATGTCCTGATGGCACTCAGGGGACCATGTGCAGTGCCCAGGATTTAACAAGAGTCCTCTGCATGCAATGCAAGTATTTCAACCCCTGGACTGTCTCTCTGCCCACTCCCCCTCCCCCCCATAAGGTTGTTTTAGTAATGAAGTGATGCATGAAAAATCCTTGGCCTATGGTAAGTTGGGATCCTCTGCAACTTACCATGGGATTTCTTCCTGACAAACCTACTGTGAGCTAACAATGCCGTGAAGTTGAAAGATATTTAACACACCCACTCTACATCAGTTCACAGACGGGTGCCAGTCGCAGGCTGAAAAAAAACATGCAGGCCTGTGGGCTGATGTGCAGGACAGGTCCTGGCAGTGGGTGTGAAGGAGTGGGCGCATGCTGGCCCAGACCACTTTAAAGATGCTCGGGACACTCATTAGCCTCTATTTGGGGAACCCTGGAACATAAAGCCCGCCACACGTGCAGTTGACTGAGCGCTGGAACAAAACCCATGTGGGCTGCCGCTGCTTCCCTACAGGATGGCGCCACTTGCAGGGGCTGGGCACTCGCTGTCCCTGCCAGCAGTGTGAGGGACATCTGACTGCCCGGTGGAGGGAGGCCAGAGTTCAGAATCTGAAGCACGGTTTCCGCTGTGTGCGTGTTGCCCCGCCTCGTGAAGCAAGGACTGTCTGTTCTCCCGCGATGTGGGGCTCTGCAGCCTTACGCGTGGGTGCATGGAGCCACTTTGAACCAAGCACTTAACTGGCCTGTGTCAGGAAATAACCGTAGAGTGCAGAGAATCTTGGAAAGGTCAGCACTGCCCTGTAGCCGGAGAACGTGCCTCAGCGGCAGGGCGAGCGTGGGGTCGGAGCACATGCTCGGCTCCTGGCCGGTGCGGCCTCGCTGAGGAGGGCCTGGCTTGAGTCCTGCAGTGGGGGTTGCAGAGAGGGCAAGGGGCCTGGCCCCCATGGCTCAGGGGAGCAGAGGGGCAGGGAGGGACCCATGCACCTGCAATGTCAGGCCTGTGCAACCGAGGGCAGGAAGCAGGAGCTAGGGGCAGGGGATCACATGGCGGGATCCTGAGCTGGAGGAGGGAAGAGGCACTTCTTTCTTCTTCGTCCAACCTGCCCTGGGCTTCCAGAGAGACCTCTGTGCATCTCTGTGTTCATTCTTGCTGCAGCTGAGCTGGGCCGTGCCCCTGCCTGTGTGGCCTCCTGCTGGCCTGTGGGTCAAGACCGTCTCCTCCAGCAGCCCCACGGGCTCCAGAACTGCGGAGGAACCGGCCAGGTGTGGGGGCCACTGTTCTTTGGGCTTGTGAGTGCCCCACTGTATCTTCAATCAGATGTAGAACTTGCCCTTCACCGCTGAGGCCCAACTGCTCACCTGGTGGGACACGGCATTGTGCCAGGCTCACGGCTGGGGCCAGAGAGGCCTGATCCTATCCGAAATTCCCCTGGGCAGTCCAGAGCACTGTGGCAGGGACCAGGCTCTCCAGCCTGCCTGGACTCCTCTCTTGGCCCCGCCCACCCCTTTCCTGCCCCACCCCACGCCCTGTCCCGCCCCATCTCGCTAGGCTCCACCCACACAGCCCTCGGCCCCGCCCACACCTCTCTAGGCCCCGCCCACACAGCCCTGTCCCACCCCCACCCTCTCCCTTTGCCCCGCCCACCTCCCTAGGCTCCACCCACACGGCCATCTGCCCCCCACACCTCTCTAGGCTCCGCCCACACAGCCATCTGCCCCCCCCCCCGCACCTCCCTAGGCTCCGCCCACACGGCCATCTGCCCCTCCCACACCTCTCTAGGCTCTGCCCACAGACCCCTGCCCCACCCACGCCCTCTCCCTCTGCCCCGCCCCACCTCTCCAGACTCCACCCACAAGGCCCTCTGTCCCACCCACACCCCTAGCGGTGCTCGCGGCTGTTCCAGGGCCACCCCCCCATCTCTCCCTTCTCTAACTCTGGTCTCTCCGTCTACTGGGCCCTGCTGAGGCTGCAGGGGGCCGCTCCGGGCAGCAGAGGACAGGCCAGTCCATGTGGGGCTGCGTAGTCCCTGCCTGTCCCAGACACTTAAATGCGCCCATTCTCGTCCGCAGGTCGCTGCAGCCTTCTAGTGCCCAAAGGACACGCTGCCTGGCCCTGGCCCTGGCCGACATTGTGTGGCGGGCTGGTGGTCACCAGAGAGCCGTGCTCGCACTGTAAGTGCCTCCCACTGGCCAGTGGGGCCCTCCTGTTCCCCGCAGGCCACAGGGCCTGGGTCCTATTGGTGGGTCCTCCAAGTTCTCTCATACCTCATGCTGGGTTGAGCCCAGAGCCCAGGTGCAGGGCAGCCCCTCTGCAGAGAACCGGGCACCAGGCTCCCTGCCCCTTGGGGGCGGTGGTCAGCCCTGGCAGCTCAGCATACCCTCCAGCCTGGCTGTTCCTTCCCCTCTGGCTTGGAGATCGGTGCCTCTGTTACCAGCCGCCTGCCAGTCAGGCTTGCCCTCCACTGTGCCCAGAGCACGGCCCTGTGTGCACAGCCACTGTGGGCCCCGTTCCAGAGGGGGCACCTGTTAGTGGGACTCGGACTGGCCTTTCTCCCACCCTCTGCATCCCATCTGGAGGGGGCCCTTGAATCCACAGGATTCATGCCCAGCCCCTTGGTGCAGAGTTGAAGTGTGGCCTCAGCCCTGGCTACAGTCAGCATTAGTAAAGGAGTGCCTCTGGGGTCAAGGCCACTCTCTGGCGGGGCACTTTGCAGGCCACTCCCAGCGCCACTGCTATCAGTGGTATGACCTTGGGCAGCTGACTCAACCTCTCTGTGCTTCATCCTGTTGCTCACCTGGATGCAGGGATGATCCCGATCATTTATCAGGATGATCCGAGGCATCCAGTAGGAGTCAATGACATACAATAAATGATACGGTGACCCAGTTTCCCATTGGGTAATCCTCTCTGATGGGTCAGAGAGGATGACCTGTGTCTGTTCCCATCACTCATCCACAGTCAAGTCACTGGCCCAGAGATGCCTCGGGCAGTGCCTGACATGTGAGCTCCCAGGGCTGCCCGAGAGGCGTCTCCATCCCTCCTTCACTGCCCCTCGAGGGTCCATCCTTACACCCATGTCCCGTTAAACGACACACTTCAGCCCTGGCATCCACACGGCAGCCCGAACCCCGCACGAGCCTGACCCTGACCTGCACCCACCCCCTCACGCCTCCTTGGGTGTATGCCATGCCCGAGGGGGCCGAGAGCCCCTCTGTGCCCGGGTGCCCAGGCCACCCCAGCCGACAGGGCAGGCACACCCGTGTTCGCCCCTCGCCGCTGCTGCCTTTTGACTTCCTAGTGGAATTCTCCAGATGCAGCCTTGTGGCCGAGGTCAAGCGGGGAACCTGAGAGGCCCTTGGCTCAGTCCTGCCCGCAGGGAGCCATCACTGCATTTGTCCTGCGTCCATGGCGCGTGTGGTTTGGCCCCTTCTCCCCGGGAACTGGACTCAGGCGTCTCCCTTTCCTTTTTAGGACGTCGGGAACACAGCAGTTCAGTCCAACGGGGAAATACAAAGCAGATGGAGTCTTAGAAACAGTACGACTTTCTGGAAAATTACCCCGCAACGCATCCTTGGGCTTTGTTGGGGGAGGGTCCCCTTTCCTCTAAGTAAATCCTTCCTTGGTGGGGCAGTGGAGCTGGGCCCCCTCCCTGCCTCGGAACCCCCCACCACTGCCTCTGGGGTGTTGAGCGACCTCTGGGGCTGGCTCCAGGTTCTCCCTCCCCGCCCGCCCCCGCCTGCCTTCTCTGTGCCCCATGCTGTGTCTGAGCCTGGGCACTGGGGAGCCAAGAGGGGTGAAGGGTGGCACAGATGGTCAGGGAGAGGAGTGAGAAGGTGACAGGCAGCACTGATGGCGGCAGTCTCAGCCCTAAAACCATTGTTCCCTGAATGTGGTTCTTTTTTTTTCTTTTCTCTTTTTTTTGGGGGGGTCACACCCAGTGATGAACAGGGGTGACTTCTGGCTCTTTACTCAGGAATGACTCCTGGCGGTGCTCAGGGAACCGTATGGGATGCTGGGAATCGAACCCGGGTCAGCCGCGTGCAAGGCAAACGCCCTACCCGCTGTACTGTCACTCTTGCCCCCGAACATGGTTCTTTTCTGGGCCTGCCAGGCTTTTCGGGAGTCTTGTGGCCTAGAACTGGGAAAGGAAGTTGGTAACTCTGGGTCACGGGCTCTCCCCCACCCCACCCCACCCCACCCCCTGCAGCCCCCACCACTCCTCCATAATATCCCAGATCAGTTGGCTGGGGTGTGTGGGTACCACGTGGGGTGCTTTGGCACCCTGCTGCCTGCAGTGCTGGGGTCCCTGGATGCAGTCTGCGGCTGGGCGCTCTGCAGCCTTTTTTGTCTCCCAGGGGTGAGGGTGCCCTTCCTGTGGGGCCCGCTTTCTAACTGCAGGCTCCTTCCTGGGTAACGGGGCCAGGAACCGGGGCCCAGCGGAGCGGGCACGCCCCGCCAGGCCCGCTCACCCTTTGCACGTTCGTGTCTTCTCAGCTCAGCCTGCACAGCCTGACGAGCTACGACGAGCTGTTGCGTTTTCTCCACCACTGCGTGCCTCAGGTAGGGGCTAGAGGGGCTCCCGCAGACGCTGGGACTAGGGGTGAGCTCGGGGGGGCCGGGATCCGCTCTCTGCCATTGCATCCCGCAGGGCTGGGCTGGACAGGCCAGAGGGAGCTGCAGGAGGCAGGGCTGGGGGCCTGGGTAGTGGGCAGGAAGCAGGGCTGGGAGGGCGCAGGGTGACAGGCAGCCAGGGACTGGCTCATGGGAGCGCTCTCACGGGAGGCGGCCAGAGGTAAGCAGCATCACTGCAGGCGTCAGCAGGGGCAGGATGGGGGGAATGTGGACACCTGGGCTGCTTTTGGCCCTCACATCGGTGCTAGGCGACCTCTCATGGGGTCCGCCCAGGAGGCAGCACCTCTGGAGCACCCATCTGCTGGGGTGTCCTCCAGCACCTTCTCGCTGAGCCCTAGGCTGGACCTCAACCACAGCCTGAGGGTCCATAGTCTCGGGAATGCGGAAAAGGACTGTAGCTGACCGGGTTGGCCCAGGACAATGAGGGAGGCTCTGGGGATAAAGAACAAGGTTCCCGGGGCCAGAGGGAGCAGTGCTTGCACGCAGAGGCCTGGCTTGGTCTCCCGAACACATGCCCTCCCCCCGCCCCCGAGCACGGGCTCCCAAGTGCCACTGTGTGCAGCCCTCCCAAACTGAAATGAAGCAAGAGCGAGGTTCCTGGAGAGCCCAGGAGCTGGGTGGCTGCTCTGTGACCCGGGTGACTTGCTTAGCCCCCACTGGGGCCCACTCTCTGCTTCTAGGAGCCGTGGGGGCCATGGGGGCAGCCCCTGCATCTCACTGTCCCCTGCCTGGATCCCTCTCCTCGGGGCATCTGCTTCTGTGGCAGATATTAGGGCCCCCAAGATCATATATTAGGGCTGAGTGGTAGACGGAGAAGTTGAGGGAAATTCCCAGACCGGGGCCTGGGGGTCCTGTCCACACTGTGGCCTCCAAGGCGGGAGGCACCCTGGGTGCCAGGCCTTTTCTCAGCCGGTCTGTGGGCCCTGCTCTCGCTCTTCGTGGCACCAGGTGAGTGGCAGTGGGTTTGGAGGTGAGTCTGGGGGTGAGCCAGGCCCTGCACCTGCTCTCTGACCCTCACTCACAGCTCTGCAGCACATACTCCCTGGGGCGGGAAACGGGGTCTGTCCAGGGACGGAGGGGCGCAGGTGCGAGGTCCCCCGGCCCATGGGAACGCCTCGCCCTGGGATGGTAGGTCAGGGATCACCAGCCTGGGATGGTAGGTCAGAGGTCCTGTGTCTAGCCAGCCAGGCACTGGCCTTTGTGACTGGTGTGAAAAGGGGACACGCTAGGCCTCATATGCTGTGTGCGGCTCAGCTCACCTGGCCCGTGGGTGGGTATCTATGGGGGCCAGAACAGGGGTCGGAGGTCATTCCCACCCCAGGGGGAGTCTCCTGCACTGCTTATGGGCCTCAGCTGCCTTCTCCTTTTGGGGAGCGGGAGGCAGAGAGAGAGAGAGAGAGAGAGAGAGAGAGAGAGAGAGAGAGAGAGAGATTAGCAGACAGCTCCCAGGTCTTCCCATCCACGGAGATTCATTTTTTTTGTTTTGTTTTTTGTTTGTTTGTTTGTTGGTTGGTTTATACCCAGTGATGCTCAGGGGTTACTCCTGGCTCATGCACTCAGGAATTACTCCTGGTGGTGCTCGAGGGACCATATGGGATGCTGGGAATTGAACCCGGGTCGGCCGCGTGCTAGGCAAATGCCCTACACACTGTACTATCGTTCTAGCCCCTCTACAGGGATTCTTAAGGCAGGGCCAGGAACACCGGGAGATGCTGAGGGTGTGGGCTAGCCCACAGGGCAGGGGACCCTTAGGGGGTCCCAGGGACTCCTGGGGAGACTGTCTGGACACCCTTCGGTTCTGAGGCATCTGGGAGTCATCCCAGCACTGGAAGCCCAAGCCCAGGCAGGATGGAGAGGGAGGCTGGGAGAGGGAGGGCATCCTGGGGGAGAGAGGAGCCGTCCTCCCCTCCTCTGGAAGGCGTTGCCCCCTGCCGCACCCCCCTGTTTAATTTGTGTTTTTGCTGGAAACCATGGCACTTCCTCAGCACTGCCCTCACCAAATTCATTTTGCATGGCCTGCGCCTCAGAGGGGTCCCACATGCCAGGCCTGGAGAGGCTGCCCCGCCTCCGCCCAGAACAGAGAACCCCTCGCCTATCTGCAGACTGCTCAGCCCCCCGGCGGGCGCCCCACCCAGGCCTGCTCCAAACTGAGCTGCCGGGGGAGGCGGGTGCTCAGAGGTCCCCCGGACTGGACCATGTGAGAGAGGGGGCCCCTTCTCACCCACTAGCCCCTCACAGGGCAGCCTCTGGCCCCGTGGCCTCCCTTGGCAGCTTGGATTTGGTGAGGTCATTTTTTTTTCTTTTTGGGTCACACCCAGCGGTGCTCAGGGGTTCCTCCTGGCTCTGCACTCAGGAATTACTCCTGGTGGTGCTCGGGGGACCCTGTGGCATGCTGGGAATCGAACCCCGGGTCAGCCGCATTCAAGGCAAATGCCCTACCCGCTGTGCTATCACTCCAGCCCCAAGTGAGATCATTTTCATGATTAAAAAAGGAACAGAATGCTGGTGCCATTCAGCTCAGTTAAGAAGGCAGGAAGCCCCCTGGCCGGCTATTCCCTGATCTCCTGCCGTCCGGGAGGGAGGCCAGCAGATGAAGGATGCACAGAACTGGTCAGTGTGCCAGACAGGCAACATGCCGACCCCGTGGCGGCCCAGGATCCACTCTCTGAGGGAGCCGGCGCGTCCAGGACACTCCCCGCCCCTCCCTCCCCTGCATCCTGCAGGTGGGCACAGACACACGGGCCCAACCCAAGGAAGGCCCAGAATCCCCAGGACAGTGCTCACCCATGGCAGAGCAGTTGGCCTTCACGGAGGGTCCCAGGAACCCAGCCGCTTCCTCGGGCAGCCGCACTGTGCACAGGTTTGACAAGGTGCCCCGATCTGTGACCCCTGGCCGGGGCCCACCTTGACCATTCAGGACCCGCCAATACTGACCTGCTCTTGGTCATGCCCACAGCATGAGTAGTGTGTGAGGCATTCTCAGCCTGTTGGTTGTTTTTTTTTTAATTTTCTCTTGAGATGCTGTGATTTGCCATGTTGCTAATAATGGTTTCTCATGCACATAATCCTAATATCACACCCTCTCCCTCTCCCTCGTCCAAGGACACCAACGCCCCTTTCTTCCAGACTCCCCTCAGCTCAGCTGTGTGGATCAGTTCTCCCATGATGTTGCCTTTAATCCTTTGCTGCTCCCTTGCTGTGTATCTTTAAGTCCCACCTGTGAGAGATTATTCCTTGTCTAGCTCTTTCCTTCTGACTATCTTCACTCAGCATGGCGTTCTCTGGTTTCCTCTGTCACTTCACTTAATCACTTAACTTCCCGTTAGTCGTCGATTTGCTCGAGCGGGCGCCAGTAACGTCTCCATTTGTCCCTGTCGCGTGCTAGTGTAGCCCAATGGCATCTCTTCGCTCCGGGAACATGGAGGGCCTCAAACCGATCGTTCATGACCTTGACAAAGAAGTCTGACCATCTGGTAGGTGGGCGGCCACGCGGTCTCTTGACATCCCGTGGAATCCAATCAGTAACAGCTCTAGTCCAACGGTCGTCTTTAAATCTCATTACGTGACCAGCCCATCTGATTTTCGACACCTTGGCAAATGAGACAGCGTCCCTGATCCTTGATCGTCGACGGATGTCAGAACTCGTTCTCTCATTTGAGTGAAACGTGATATTCCAAGCATAGCTCTTTCTATTCTTCTTTGGGAGACCTGAATGGCGTTCTCATCTTGTTTGCGTAGGGCCCAGGTCTCTGAGGCATATGTTAATGCAGGAAGAACAGTGGAATCAAAGAGATGTGCCCGGAGCCGGAGGTTCTTCGTCCTCTTAGCTATTTCTTCGACGTTCTTGAAGGCGTTCCAAGCCGCTCTCTTCCTCCTGCGCAGCTCGGGTGCCAGGTCATTTGTCATGTTGACCTCTCGACCTAGGTACACATAGCTGTTGCATTCGGAGATGGTCATTCCATTGAGAGCGAATGGGGCGTCAGGAACAAGGCTGTTTCTCATAAACATTGTCTTCGTAAGATTCAGCTGTAGTCCTACCTTTCCACACTCACGGTCAAAGTCGGCCAGCATTTGTTTCCTCTGTGTTGCTGCAAATTGCATGGTTTTGGTCTTTTTTAGAGCTGCATAGTATTCCATTGTGTATGTACACCACTTCTTAATCCATTCATCTGTAGTTTGGCATTTTCCCCCCTTATATTGGCTGTTGTAGTAAGTGCAGCATTGAACATAAGTGTGTATATGTCCTTCCAAACAATGTTTTTGTGGTATCTTTGTGTCATATGGGAATTCTATTCCTACATTTTGGAGAGATCTCCCTATGTTTCCCATAGAAACAGAACTAGAGGGCATTCCCATCAACAGCGGATGAGGGTTTCTTCTCCCCACAGCCTGGCTGTTTCTGTGCTTTTTGATATATGTCATTCTCACTGGTGTGATGTAAAAGTCTCATTGTTGTTTTGATTTGCATTTCCCTAATCATGAGTGACAATGAGCACTTTTCTTCGTATGCCTGTCAATCAGCCATGTGTCTTCTTTGGGGAAGTTTCTGTTCATCTCCTCACCCCATTTGTGGATGGGCTTGTTGGAGTTTTTGTTGTTGAGTTTTGTGAGAGCTTTATAGATCTTGGATTTAAGCCCTTTATCTGATGCATTGTGCACGAATATTTTCTCCCATTCAGTAGAGTGTCTTCTTCTTATAGCTTGAGTTTCTTACAGAAACTTCTGAATTGGATCTAATCCCATTGGTTATTTTTATTGTCTTTGCCACTGCTGTCATCTGTGGTGAGTTTCCTGAAGAGTTCTGTCGATATTTTCTTCAATGTATTTTATGGATTCGGGTCTAATCTTGAAATCCTTAACCCTCTTTGAGTCTACTTTTGTGACTAGTGTGAGATACAGGTCTAATTTCCTATTTTTTTACATGTGTCTATCCCGTTTTCCCACCACCATTTGTTGAAGAGATATTCTTTGCTCCACTTCATCTACTTAAGTCCTCTGTCTTAGATGAACTGCCCATAAACATGGGCTTGAATTCAGGATTCTCAGTTGTTTCATTGGTCTATCTTTATTCCAGTTCCATGCAGTTTTGATAGTATAGCTTTTGTGGTATAGTTCAAAGTGGGGAAATGTAATGGTTACCACCTTCCCCTCCAGCCTCCAGCCCCCCTACTTCCCCCCCTCGCCTTACGACAACTGTGGCTATTCTGGGAGTTTTCTGGTTCCATACAAACGGTATTGGTCCATGTCTCTGAAAAAAGCTCATTGGAATTTTAATGGGTATCGAGCTAAATCTGTATAGGGTTTTGGGTGGCACAGTCATTTTAACAATGTTGATTTTTTTTCCAGTCCACGAACAGATGGCTTTCTATTTCCTGGAGTCTTATTTTTCTTAGTGGTGATTTATAGTTTTCACTGTACAACTCTTGCACCTTCCTTGTTAAGTTCCTAGATGTTTGGGGGCACTATTTTGGAAGAGATAGTCATGTTAATGTTTTTCTCTTTTAGTTTATTATTTTTAGCCTAGTTTTGCAAAGGGGGACGCAGAACTCCAGAAGGCCAGAGGTGATGGAGGATGAAACTGACTTGATTGTTGGTGATTCATTTATTGCTTTTCTACCTCTGCAAAGAGATTTGCATTCACTATTAAAACATTGATGCTTTTCGCACTGCATGCCTCCTTCCCCCAACATCATACACCAGTAAGTTTGCCTTCTCTTGACCCTGGACCTTTGCACATGCCTTTCTTCTGGCTCGAGTAGTCAGCATTCTCTTCCCATCTCCTTGGGTTTCTGTTTCGACATGACTCCCTGCATTCCTGTGAGAGTCTACAGGGAAGGTCCTTCCCATGTGTATCAAAGGACCCCATGTTTCCCGTCGAGAAAAGCTCTTTCTGCTCCAAGAGACCCGTTCTTATTCCCAAGTTTAGCTTTAGCCAGGAGCAGCCTCTCGGCACAGAAAGTTCACTCCCTCAGATTCTCAGGGTTTTTTGTTTGTTTTTTAATGATCAACAGATTGCTTCACAGGATGAAAATAAAGGCGGCACTATGAAAAGAAAGTGTTCCCCGGACGCCGTCACTAAGATAGTTAGCGCAGCTGAGTACCGGGTTTGGCTCTGCCTTCCTGGCAGCCAGGACAAACATGGAAGAAAGAGAGCAAATTCTGTAATTCTTGTTCCCGGAAAACAAGCTGTCCCCACACCCCTGGCTTTTAATTCCAAGGAGAAACTGATCACATACATGGAACACTAGCCGTAGTGACAGGCCGGCTGCCCCCAAGCAGAACCCCCAAAGCAGGGTAAACGAGGTGTTTCCATTGGCAGCAGGGGTGGCGGGTGCTGTTGGCTTGTCGCCCAGTGGCTGGTGCCACGTCAGCGTCCTGCAAACAGCCAGGCCCTGCAGTAAGGCTTTATGACGCTTCCTTCACCTTCGTCTGGCTGACAGGCTGATAAGGCACGGCCTATCAGCATCCCTGTCTCACAGACTCGGAGGTGGGGCCAGAGAAGTGACAAAAGTTAAGAAATAATCAGGAGTGACTGGGCTGGATGGAAGCCTGGGTAACTGGCCTTTGGTCTGTGGGCACCAAACGGGATGTGGGGGCTCGGGAGAGGCCAGTGAGGCGACAAACTCAAGGGGCCACCCCCCAGCAAAGCCCCCGCCCTGAGGATAAATAATATTTAGTGCCATGTTTTACAAAGTAAGGTTTATTCCCCCAGATTCATTTTGAACAGAATATCGGTCTTGATGGAAGGCACCGTCGGGCCTTCGTCCCCCTGCTGCCTTGGGAACCCCATTGTGCCCCGGTCCGCTAGGCATTCTCATGCTCCCCAAGCAAGTTCTCTGTCCCCGCACCCCTGTCTGGGGCTCTCCAGGCTGGCGCCTTCAGGGATCCCAACCTGGACCAAGGACAGGCTGCTTGGGAATGTTCCACTTCCATGGGTATAGCTGGGTTCCGGTCTTCCTGGGCCCCCTGATCTGTGGGCAGAGGGAGAGAAGCCACTGCTTGAGGGGATCTGGCTGGGCTCCCCCGGGCCGCCTGCAAGCCTCTGGCTGGTGCCGGCAGCCACTCTGCTCTGGGGGTGTGCCCGCCTGTACAGGCGAGAGAGGGCCACTCTCAGTCCCTTCTCCTCTCCGCAGTTTGAAGCAGGCCCCTATGGCTGCATCCTGCTCACTGTGTCTGCCATCCTGTCCAGGACCACGGAGCTGTGAGTATCTCCCATTCCCCCCACCCCGACCTGTGCCCCGGGGTGCGGGAAGAGCCAGAGAATGGGTCGGGGCTATGGCATGGGACAGGTACCCTGGGCAGGGTGGGGTGCAGCGCCCCAGAGATGCTGTCCATTGTCCTTCTCCAGGAGGCTGAGATCTCTCAGCTGACAGGTTGAGGGCAGTTGGCCCGGGTGCCCACATGGTCAAGGTTAGGACTGCTCTCTGGACCCGGGGCGTACTGATGGTCGTGAGAGGGTCCATGGTGCTGTCCCTGGAGCTCAGCCCCTGCATCCCTATGGGCCTCGTGTCTGGGTTTGTTCCCTAGATGCCAGTCACCAGGGGAGGCTGGTGGATCAGTCACACATGGAGAGTCTTGGCCAAGTTCATCGAAGCTGTCTTTGGGGTGGGGTGAAGGCGAGGCATGTGTGGGCTCTGCTGGGGCGAGGTTGGAAGCAGGCTAGGTAGGGGATCCTGGGAGTGCAGGGTCCAGGGGAGGAGCAGCTTGGTTCAGCGGCCGCAGCTCTGGTCTCACGATGGAATGTGTCTCCGCCACGGCACTTCCTAATGGCAGCCTTGCACTCACTCTGCCGCAGCCATCAGGTGGAGGCCAGGTGCGGGCCCGAGGGGTGGAGAACCACAAACACTCTCTCCAGCCTGGTCTGCAGCCCCCAGGCTGACGGATGGGCCAGGGGTTGGGGTATGAGGACGGGAGCCTGGGCCCGCCCAGGGGAGCCAAACCCTCAGCAGGCCAGCAGCCGTGATCTACCGCGTGGCCCTCAGCCTGTTGGCACTGGGCCTCCGGGACTCGTCTGGGACCCTTTCCAGTGTCTGCCTGGGCAGTGACAGGGTGCTGCCAGCCTAGGGGCAGAGTTCCTAGTCACACATTCCCTGTAGGGGCTGACTGCGGCCACCATCGCTCTGCAGCTGTCCTGTGCTGGGCATGGGCACTGCCAACCCTGCCCAGCCGGGCAGCCGTGCCTGGTAGTGGTCAAGGTGGGGCTGGTACCATCTGTGTGGGGAGACCACCCCAGGGGCCTGCACAGCCCACTGCTGGGGGCCTGAGGTCATAGTTTTTCCATGGGACCCCCCCCCCAGACAGGTAAAGATACACAAGACAGACACTGTGCATATGCACACGGACACGCAGAGACATGTATGGAGACTCGGTATAGGCACCTAGACACACACTCACACTCATGCACATCCACATGCACTCATTCACATGTAAACACAGACACACACATATACTTACACACTCACATGAACTTACACTCATGCACATGCAGACACATATACATACTCCTACACACCAACACACATGCACACTCACACATGCATGAGCACTCACACACACACATACACACACACACACACAGGTCTGAGCGGTCCCCTCCTCCCTGCTGCCGAGACTGTGGAGTGGTGGTCCCTGAGCCCCTGTTCCCTGGGGGCAGCCTGGTAGGCTTGCCTGAGCCCCTCTGCAGAGCCAGACAAGGCCCTGCTCCTTCCCAGTGGGATGGGGGAGCCCCCAGGCTGGTCTCTGCGCTCACACTGTCCTTCCATTCCTCATTCGTTTTCATGTTCCTATTTTCTACCTTATCCCCCTTCCCTTTGTGGCCATCCCAGTGACCAGTCACACACACGTGGCCACAGTGTCCCCAAACTGCAGGTCGCACCCAGCACAGCCGGCTCTGCAGTTTGAGGGGCAGGGTCCCTAACACAGACACCCTGCAGACCACCAAGCTGAGAGTGGCCAGTCCAGGACAGCTGGGGGGGGGGGCAGTCATACCCAAGCATCCCACTCATTGGTCATGATGTGGCTCCAGGATGCCAGGGCCCCCAGCAGGGGATACGGTGCCTCGACACCTCCTGTCTCCACAGCCGCTTCCATGGTCGCTCTGCAGAGCTTTGGCCCCAGGAATTGGGGGCAGGAGTGTCGCCCCAACAGCACCTCCCATGGCCTCCCTGCCCCGTGCCACGGGGTCGCTCCCTTTACTACTGGGGGTGCCTGCCTGAGAACACGTCCCAGAGATCAGGTTAGGCTCTAGTACCCCCCTCTAGCACTTTGCAAATAGAGGGTCCATATGTGCCGGTGACAACGTGGGCTGGGCTGAGGCGGGTGTGGCTGTTGGTGGCTGTGGTGGCGCCCGGGGGATCTGAGTGTGTGAGACCCGGGGGGTAATGGTAGTGGCAGGATGGGGCGAGGTCCAAAAGCCACCCCCCCCACACCGCCTGTCCACCCATCACCCCACCCTCAGCTCCCTGGATACAGTGGGGCTGCCGGCGGGCCTAGCAAGGCTGTCTTCTCTTGTTGCCAGCCATCTGTTTTCTTTGCTGAGTTCTCAGTCGCTTACAGTAAATCTCCTGGCTCTCACGCCCGCCTTGTTTTCAGACTACACAGCCCAGAACCTTCTCCAGCACAGCTCACAAGCGCCAGATCTACTCAGGGCACCCGGTCAAGCTTGCCCAGCGTGGCATGGCGGTGCCCGCTCGGTGCCCTAGGAAAGCCTCTCCTAGGTCCTGTGACATCTGCGGCTCTGCCCACCCACTCCCACCCCCACCACGGGCAGTCCCAGAAGCCCTAACAAGGCAGTGGGTCGTCATTCACTAAAGTACAATTTGGACAGCACAAACTGGCCACTGCGGGTGTGGACGGCCCCTGTGCAGGAGGGTTGGCTGCTTTCTGCGACTCTCCAGGAAAGTTCTCTGTGCAGGGCAAAGGCACAGGACAGAATGGCAGCAGAGCAGAGCAGAGTACACCATTCATTCATTCATTCACCACAAAGCCAGGAATTCAGGAGTAGCTGGATCCAGGACCTCCGACTGTCTTTAAGCCCTGCGGGTCCCTTCCTTGAATTCTTTTTCTTTGTCTCCAGAAGGGCCTGGGAGGGGCCTTTCTCCCAGAATTCTCACCTGCTGGGATGCTGGGTCCCCATTTCTGTCCCTCACCGTGATCAGACCTGGGTGGTACCCAGGAAACATCAATACTCAGCGGACTCCTGAGATGCCCATGCCGGCTGGCCGGGAAGGGACAGGCTCCAATTAGCAGCTGGGCTGTATTCAGGACAGGAGGGCAGATGGACAGGTCTGGGCCTTGCTGGAGACCCCACAGAGCCCTCGCAGAAGCGCAGGGCAGAGGCTGGAGCAATAGCATAGCGGATAGGGCATTTGCCTTGCACGCAGCCGACCCGAGTTCGATTCCCAGCACCCCATATGGTCCCCCTGAGCACCGCCAGGAGTGATTCCTGTGTGCAGAGCCAGGAGTAACCCCTGAGCATCGCTGGGTATGACCCAAAAAATAAGCAAAAAGAAAAAAAAAAGAAGTAGCGCAGGGAAAGCAGCAACCCTGCTTTCCCTCCCAGGAGTGGACACTGTGCAGGGATCACTGTGGGGAGAGGTTGGGCTGCCTGTGGCCTTGTGGGGACGCCGGGCTCTGTCCTGGCAGGAGGGGACAGGAGCCTATGGGCTTCTCACCTGGGGCCACAGCCCTCCACCCCTAAACCATTGGAAATTGAGCGGGATGGGGAGGAGGAACAGCCCATATGCCCTGTGGGATGGGGGAGAAACAGGCCTGGCCCTGCTGTGAGCAGCAGACCTGGGTGCCCACTGCCCCCTCCCCGGGCCCACCTGAACGGCTTTGCAGACATGTCTGTCGATTGAGGCGCCAGCAAGCCAAGGGCAGGATGGCACCGCAAACACCCCTATGACACAGAGGGCAGCGTCCTCGGGAGCTGGTCCTGTGTTGGGCTGGCGGGGAAGGGGTCTTGGCCCCGGATGGACCCCATGCCCGCCCCATAAACCGGATGCCCATCCTGCTCCTCTGCCCACTGGGTCAGGGCGGGCATCTCCAAGCCTGTGGCTGAAAGGGGGCCTGGCCCACATCCCGGGACAGAGGCAGTTCCAGGGGCCGGGTGGGCGCTCTGAGGCTGTCTGAGGGGCGAGGGTGCCTGTGGAAGGAGCAGTCTCCACTCAGGGGGTCCCTGTGGGAGGATTCTGGGGTCAGCGTGGCAGCTGGAGGAGTAGGGAGGGCGGAGGTGGGGGCAGGCCTGGGCGCCCCCTCCAGGCTGTCAGCCGGCCCTGCCTCCTTGCTCAAGTCCATGCTTCATCCTGCCGCTGAGGCTCCCTCTCCCGGGGTCACCCTGCAACTGGGGGGCCAACACCAGGGGTCCTGGCTCCTGGGAACGCCACCCTGCCATCTCCCTGGACCTTTCCAGACACTCCCAGCCCCCCTCCCCGAGCGTGGCGCCTGGACTTCGGGCCGCGATAAGGTGGTGGAGGCTGCGGGAATCTGCCCTCTGGGTCACTGTTGCTCCACGTTTTATTATTGTTGTTATCGTGGAGAAAGGAAGTGACACTTACCCAACGCCAAGGGCTTTATATAGCTGGTCACTCAGTTCTCACCACGGGCTGGCCGAGGAGGTATCATGGTGCCCGCGTCACCCGGGGGAAACTGAGGCATAGCAGAGGGAGGAGGGTCTCATTTGAGCAGTGGTGGCTGTTTCTCTCTCTGGACTGACCCCTCCCCACCCCCAGTCACCCCAGGTCCAGCAGACGGACTCAGCAAGGGTGCGGGAAGGTGATGTCTGCTGGGTAGGCTGTAGGCCAGAGTGTGGCGGGGCCTCCGTGCACCTCAGGTCAGTGCCCTCCCTGCGCACCCCTGCCTGCTTGCAGCTTGGCACCGGGAGCCAGGCACACTCCACGCCCTTCCAGGAGGGCCGAGGCCCCTGCTGCAGTGCTCGGGTGTGTGAAAGGGAAACAGATGCAGTGCCGGGCGGGGGCCACACTCGGTAGCCGGCCCATCCCCGCACCTCCCGGCAGAATCTGCTGCTTCAGACTCCTGCCCCCGACGCCCAGACTTACGCGGGAAGACGCATGTTGGGGAAGGAGGGCAAAGGGTGGAGGACCCGCGGTGGATCCATGGCACCTGGCCACCTGTCCTCCCCCAGACCTGTCAGGCCGGAGTGGCCCAGGGCTCTGCACCTCTGTGCTGGGGGTGTGGGGTCTGCCCGGGCTTCTACCAGATGGCCCTGCCCCTCCTCCCTGCCCGTCCGGGAATCTGTGAGCTCCTGCTTGCTGGAGGGGTCCCCAGTGCCAGGCGGCTCCTGGGAAAACCCCTCCTGGTTCCTGCCACCCAGCCAGAGGCCTGGACCTGGAGACTGTACAGGATTCTCCCCGCCAGCCCCCACGTAGGAGACAGGGAAGGGCCTGGTGCCCACTAGACCAGATTGGTGGTGAGTCCTGGGGGTTGGGGCGCCATACAGGAACCTTCGTGACCTAGGTGCCCCCCAGAGGGCCACCTGGGCTGGAGGAGGAGATGGCCCGCCCCCACAGAGAGCCCTAAGAAGTTGCCTGGGCTGCCTCATGTTGCTGAGGGCTGCTGTGGTTTGGGCCATGGCCTGTGGCCACACTGCAAGCAGAGTGTCCCCGGAGGCAGAGGCCAGATGCCCAGGGTGCTGCGCCCCAGGCATGCTGGCAACCGCCTTCAGGGGGTCTCCCGGCCCGCATCTGGGGCGGCCCCTCCCCTAGAGCACAGGCTTTTCTCTTCTGAAAAGGACACAGCCCAGCAGGGTCACCACCCACCCCAAAGACCCCCTTTAACAGAATCCCTCCCATCCGATGCAGTTACTTTCCGGAGACGGGGCTGCAACATTCCATATCATTCTGGGCCGCAGGCGTGATCCCTCCCTCGGATGACAGAAGGGGAGGCTGAGGCCCAGAGAACAGGGCTTGCCGCCCCGCCCCCCCCTGCATGAGCGTCTCCTGTTGGATGCTGATCCTGCATCCCCAAGACTCCCCACACTTGGCTGTCCAGGGGATTCCCCCAGGGCTGGCCTGGGCATCTCGACTGGCCAAAGCTGTAAATCTCTTAAGCCATAAGCCGGTCCTTGGCGTCTCCCGAGCGGGCTGATGTGAAATCCAGATGGCCCTCCCTTTCAAGATGGGGGCCCGCTCCTGAATTTCCCATCGTGTTTGCACCTAAGGATGCAATTACCATTTCCTGCCATTGTCCGCCCGTCCCGTCCCTGTGCTCCCGGCTGACGCAGGCTCTCAGCCCCGCTGGGTGAGCACGAGGCCGGGAGCTGATGGAGATCTGACGGGCTCCGAGAGCCCTGGCTGGCTCGGGGCCCACGATGCTTATCAGCGCGCACCCAGAGCTCCTTTGAGGTTATTTTCTTCTCTTCAGAAGATGCCTGTCTGGGGCCGCGTGAACATTTCCATCAGTGCCTCTCTCTGAGCCAGAGCCGGCCCAGCGCTGCCCGCGGCCCTTCTGCTGAGCCCTTCCTGGCCTTGGGGCGCTGTCCATGGTGGGGGAACATCCCTCAGGGCCTGCCCCAGGACCCCCGAGTCCAGCCGGCCAGCCCCTGCTGGCCAGGGGCAGGCCTGCTTGGCCATGGCTGTTAGAAACGAGGAGGCATCCTCCCCGCAGCTGTCACGCAGCTCAAGTTTCTGAGTTTCCTCTGGGGGGCACCGAGGTCTGGGCCAGTGGCCTGGCGGCAGACCTCAGACGTAAGGCATGAAATTGAGAGCAGACCTTGACCGCTGAGAGGACATGCCTGGGCTGGGGACGGTTGAGCCTCCCCAGATCTGTGTGCAGGAGGCAGCCGGGCTGGGTCTGGAGAACACCGTGTGCCGGGTGGGCTGGGGCAGCCCCCCAGGGCGTCCCGGGTCCGAGCTGCAACCATCTGCATGTCTGAGGTGCAGGGCTGAGCTAAGCACAAGCTCCCACGCATGGACGTGCCTGCCCTTCCTGTTTTCTCCCCTGACGATCCGCAGTGGGAACGGGTCCCCGGGCTGGTCGGGGTGGGCTGGAGGGATCGTATCCCACCGCACTCCAGGCGGCAGGAGGACACAAGCTCCAGCCCTCAACATTCTGCTCTTGCCCCCGGCAGCCGCCCTGCCCCGGCTGTGTGCTGTCCATCCCGGAGTTCCCCTCCTGGGAGGGGCCTGCTCCTGGCTTTGTTGGGGCAGGGGTCCTGCCGCTTTCCTGGGATCCCCTTTCCATGTGAGCTGGGCTGGGGAGAGCTTGGGTCTCCGCCCCCAGCCCCGGCCTCCCTGTCCATGGGGCCCTGCCGTGTCTCGGGAGTAGAGCTGGGGTGGTCCGAGGTGGCCCCGCCCTCGAGCTCACAGGCCCCTCTAGATCCAGAGTCCGGAGCCCTGCTGACCTGCCTCCCGCACCCCACCCCATGTCTTCCAGCATCTGCCAGGACTTCGATGTCCCCAGCAACCACCTGATCGGAGCACATGGCTACTGCACGCAGGTGAGGCCGCAGGGGGCCGTCTCGCCCCCTCCTCTGCAGGCAGGGCACGTACATCCCAACCTGGAGCCCGTGAGAGGCGGGAGCAGCGGGGTGCCCTTGCCCCATCCCCAAGCGCCTGTTGCCGGGGGACAAGAGCGGGCAGGTGCCGTTCACTTGTGCCTCCGCTCTGTCACTGCCTCTCCTGCCCCTTCACAGCAGGTACCCGAGGTGTCAGGGGTGCGGGGGGGGGGGGGGAGGCACATTGCACAGCCCCTGTGTTGCTGACCCCCTGGGGCCAGGCTGCCCAGAAGCCCATTGGCGAGTCCCAAGACTCGAGGCGCGTTTCCAGCTGTCATCCTGGCCTTGTTGCACAGGGCGACGTCTCCTGTGCCGGCCACCTGGCCCCGGTCCACTCTGACCTTGCCATGTGCGAGGACCGTGTGGCGAGCACACAGCCTGGGCCTCGGCAGCTCGCCTGTCCAGGCCCCACTGTTTCTAAGGAGTCCAAGACTGCAGGGGCCAGCTGGGACTGGCAGGGCGCTGAGGCTGGGGGCTGGGGGCCCCCCCATGTTCCCCCAGGCCATCACCACAGAAGATGGGTCGCCCAGCTGTGGACAGTCACTCGGGAGGCTGAGCCTGAGCTCGCTGCTCCTTTGGGGAATGGATCCGGGTCATTTTCTTCCCTCCCGAGCCTCAGTTTCCCCGTTTGTGAAACCTAGCATTTGGGCTACATCGGTGCTGTTAGACACAAAGTCTGGACATGGGGTCAGGCCTGACTCTGCGCCCTATCAGGGTCCAGCAGGCTCTCGACACGGGGCTGTGGGGTGGTGGTAGGCAGATGCCCCTGAGCCAGGCACACCCGGAGAAGCCTGTGCCCGGCTGACCATGCTGGCCGCCGTGATCCCGAGTGTGGAGACAGGAGCGTGCTGGCACCGCCCTGACCAGTGTTTGCAGAGTGAGGTTGCACATCCCTGCCCGGGACCAGGAGCATTTTCCTAGCCCTGAGCAGGTCAGGATAGCAGAGCCTGTCGGGAGAGGCCGTGCCCCATCGCTGCCCTCGGGCGGGCGCAGATCTCACAGCAGACACTTCCTCCAGATTCTTTTCTCATTTCCTCTGCGAAGACACACAATGAGGCCCCCACGTCGCCCGCCAAAGGGGGTCCCTCGGCGGCCATCAGAGGAGCCTCTTTTACTATCAGTGGGGCAGGGGTGTCGCCCGGCCCGGGGAGGGGTTGCTAGCTCTGGGCTCGGCCCTCCACCCAGAGGAAGCCCCTCTGTGACCCCTGCCCCTCGGAGGAAGGATGAGGAAAGGGCCCTGATGGCCAGATCCGGGCAGTTGTCCTTGAACTTGAATCCTTTTTTTGTTGTTTTTACTCCTAAGTGGTGCCTGGGGGCCTTGACTGGGATCTTGGGCCAGCTGGGCCAGCAGGTCACTGCCGGACCACGGGTGGGTTGTGGGGGTTTCCTGCACCCCCCGGCAGTGCTGGGATCGCATCAGCCATGCTTGGGGGCACGTGTGCTGGAACTGCGTCAGCATCGCACTCACACAGGTGTCCTGACGCCTGCGCTTTCTCCAGCCCAGCACTTGATTCTCTCTGGTGTTCCAAGGGTCACCAGGGCACAGGGCAGGGATGGCAGATGGGGACCCAGACAGTGTGGGAGCAGCTCTGGCCTGTCGTTGCAGCAGTGTGGTGGGGGGGCACAGCCTTTCCCGTGGCAAGCCTCAGTTTCCCCATCCTCAGAAGACCTCGGGCTCCTGGATGTCCCACATTGTCCCATCCCGCTCAAGGGCTCTGCCAGGCACCTCAGGGCCGGAGGCACCTGCCAACGGGAACCGCCCGAGAGATTCAGCCGTTGATCACCCGGCTCCAGGGTCTTCTGGCCCGTGGGCCTCTTGGGCCTGTGGCCTGTGGGCCTGTCTCTGAGAGGGAAGAGACAGAGCAGGCCGTGGACTCCCTAGCCCCTGCCCCCAAGCTCCTGCTGTGTGCCGAAGTCTGGATTCCCCAGCTTGAGAAGCCCCCTGGGCGGGAGAGCGAGTGGGGCTGGGGGTGAGGCCTGGGACCCCCTGTCAGTTTCCTGGTGCTGATGCTGTTCCTGGCCCCATTAAGATGTTATTGTTGGGGGAAGCTGGGTGAAGGGTACACAGGAACTCTTTGGACTATTTTTATAACTTCTTTGGAGCCTAAAGTTATTTCAGAAATTTAAAACAAAAAATTATTTAAAAAATAATGCCCTTCTTCAAGACCCACCCAAATGTCACTGGTCTACAAAGCATCTCTGACTCAGCCCCACGGCACCCCCGGCCCTCTGTCTGCACCCCGAGTGCCCTGCACACGCACCCATGCCCTGCCTCGACCCGAAACAACACCCCTTATGCATGATCCCGACGCCCAAGGACCCCTGCCCACTGACTGGGGCAGGGAGGGCCTGCGGGGCAGCCAGCGCTGACCTTGTGTGGTGGGTGACACTGGTGTCCGGCGCACTGGATGGGCCTTGGCCTCCTGCCCCCCTGACAGTGTGTGGGAACGCGCGTCCCACCCGCCCGATTCCAGTCTTTCTTCTCCTCGCTTTCCTTCCTTTGTTCCTTGTTCCCGATCCCCCTCACCCCCACCCCGTGGGCAGCTCATTCCGAGACTGGACGAGCCTTTCCCCTTTCTCTCATCAACAGGAACTTGTCAATCTGCTCCTGACCGGGAGGGCCGTGTCCAATGTTTTCAATGACGTGATGGAGCTGGATTCTGGGGATGGGAGCGTCACTCTCCTCAAAGGCATCGCCGCGCGCAGCAACATCGGCTTCCTGTCCCTCTTCGAGCACTACAATGTGTGCCAGGTACCCCGCGGACGAGGCCAGGGCAGGGCAGTGCCTGCCAACTCCCAGAGCCCCTGTGACACCAAGGCCAGCCCGACCCAGGGCCTCGGAGGAAATAAGAAATCCAGGTTCTCGGACATGGAGAATGGCTCGCCTTTCAATGGGGAGACCGCTGGCCTTGGGCATGTACCTGACCTGGATTTGATCCCCAACACCCCATCTGGTCCCTGAGCCCTGCCCAAAGTGTTCATAACTGGGAGTAAATCCTGAGCATTGCCGGGTGTGGCCCAGAAACCAAATATAGAGAGAACGGCTCATCGATCACACACCCGCTGCCCCCCAAAGCCAACTAATGCCACCTCTGGGAAGGGCCTGATGTCCAGTGACTTTGGGGTGTGTGTGTGGGGGGGGCAGAATGGCCATGCTCGTCTTTTGGGGGTGGGCGGGGCCCCAGGTCTGAGGCTGTGCTGGGTGTTCCAGCACTGACATCACAGCGCGCCCCCATTGCGGGCTTCAGCCTGCCTCCTCGGGGTCTCCAGGTACACTCAGGTGCAGAGTCCTAATGTGGGGGGACATGGTCCCAGCCCCTGGGGGCCAGCGCTCCTTGACATTTCAGCTTCTGGCACTTCCTGTCACTCCCCAGCATGTGGCTGGGTCCGGGGCTACGTTGCTGAGGTCTCTGCCTCTGTTCCCATGTCCAGCCTGGGCCGCCGCCTCAGGCGCCGGGTCAGGACTTCCCCTGTGGCCTCCTGGGGTCACCCAGTTCAAAGCCAAGTCCCACAGGCTTCGCTCGGCCTGTTTGTCCGGGTGTCCACTTCCTCCCTGCCTGCAGGACGGGCCTCGGAAAGGGTGGCCGCGGGGACGTTCCTGGCCGTGCGCCCTTGTCCCAGCCTGCGCTGCACCTCCCGGGCCTCCTCTTCCTCGGGTCCTCAGAGAAGACTTTGTTCTCTGGGTTTGTATGAAATGGGGCCCCCCGGGGTAGCGGAAGGCCCTCCCTTTGACCCTGCCCTCACTGGGGCCTCGGAGACGGAGCAGGGATACAGCGGGGATGCTTAGACCTTGCCAGAGGCAGGGAACTAAAGTCTAGAGGCCCAGCTCAGTTTGGCTGCACCCGCCCAGCACAGACAGCCTGTTGGGTGCGTTCCCGAGGCCTGGGAGCCTCCTACGAGCTCCCATCCCCAGGCCCTCTCCCTGGGTGACACCCGCCAGGGGTCTGACTCGTGAGCTGCTATGACCGGGAGGGAAGGACGGAGGCTTCTTCTGGACACGCTGGGCTCCCAGGGGCACTCATGGGGTGGCCAGAGGGACACCTCAGGGGCTTCTGGAATCCTAAACTCCGGACTTCCCCACAGTCAAGCTTGTGAACCCCCAGGCTCACCAGGAACCCCATTTTGACTCTGCGTCAAGGGCAGTGGTCAGGATAAACACTCCAGCGACTGTGCAGGAGGAATGTGGCCCCGCCTGCCTCCGCATCCCGGCCTTGGTAGGCTTCCCCACACTCTGAGGAAGCAAATTGGGTCTCTGCAAAGCGGGGACCCCCCCCCCCCCCCGCTTGGCAGGCGCTCCCAATGTCCACCACTCCAGAAGCCCTTGGGCAACGCTGTCGCCCTTAATCCCCTGAGCGTGCCGCCTCGGGCCAGCTGCCCTTTTGTTCCAGTGGTGGAAAACCTAGGGGTGGGGGCTGATTACAGGGACATAGGCCCCCTGGAGGGCCCCAGGTTCTTGCTCCAGTGGGGAGCAAGCACCAGTTCCGGGTCTCCCAGGCTTCCCCGAGGGTCCCGGCGATGCCCCCAGCGGCAAAGCCTCTCTGGAGCGTGGAAGGGGAGCCAAGTTTGCAGCAGGGTGCAGGCACGTCCGGCCACGTCCACTAAGACGGCTAATTCCCCTCACTCCACCTGCCTGGCCACAGGGCTGGGGGAGGGCAGGGCGAGGTGGGTGCAGGGTGAGGTGGGGGCCAGGCGGGGGGCGGAGGGAGGGAACACAGTGAGGGTGCAGGGTCGGGGCCTGTGAGGAGGCCCTTCCGCCTGGGTCAGGGTCTGCAGGGACCCCCCCCCCCCCGCCCCGTGCCCACCCGCCACACTCCCCCGGGCTCTGAGGGGGCCAGGAGGATAGGCCCTGGAGAGAGGTCACCCGCTGCCCCACTGGAAAAATTGCTCCCATTCTTTCCTTAATCCGTGCGCTGCGGCGTAAACACCTGAGCCCGCAACGTCTCCCGGGCGAGCAGGGCTTGGGCGGCCGCCAGCGGGGCCACGGGCACAGGGCAGCCACATGAGTCAGGCCGGGGTCTGGAGGTGCACTGAGGAAGCACCACCATGGGCGCAGGGTCCGAGTGACCTTCAGAGCCTCTCAGCAGCACCCCCCTCCCCCGATTCCCAGTTCTGTGAAGGTGTCTCATGGGAACTCAGTCGGGGCGGGGGGGGTGCGGGGGGAGGTCTTCATCCCAGCCCACTCCTTGCCATCAGCTGCCCCAGCCCACCTCCTGGGTGCCCACAGCTCCCGGATGGCCTCCCCGCCACGCTCCTGACCCCCCGGGTCCATACGCGTCCTCCAGGGAGGGTCCTCCCTGCTTTTGGCCGACTGGGGGGCGGGGCGCTTCACGTGGCTGCACCCCAACAGCCTCGTCCGGGGCTGAGGGTGCTGGACAGCCATCGGAGACCTTGGAGGGGGCTACAGAGGGGTCCTCTGGGTGCGGAGCCCCAGGGTCCATGCCGTCCCACCCTCAGCACCCCCCCTCCTCGCAGGTGGGCTGCTTCCTGAAGACCCCACGCTTCCCGATCTGGGTGGTATGTGCCGAGAGCCACTTCAGCGTCCTCTTCAGCCTGCAGCCGGCGCTCCTGCAAGACTGGCGCTCTGAGCGGCTCTTCGACCTCTACTACTACGACGGCCTGGCCAACCAGGAGGAGCAGATCCGACTGACCGTGGGTGCGCCCCTCCCCACCCTCCGGGGCCAGGTGGAGCTGGGCCTGCTGCCGTGGGCCGGGGCGAGCTAGGTGACCAACCAGCTGGGCCCACCCTACCGGGAGCCAGGCTCCTCTCTGACGGAAGTGACGAGCCTATAGAATATTCTGGAAGCTGAAGGGGCGAGGCGGGGGTCAGGCTGAGATGGGGTAAGGTGCCTTCACCCAGGGTGCCCGTGGGCTGACCAGCGGCACCCCTGCCCTCCCTCCCCAGACACCACCCAGACAGTGCCTAAGGACAACGGCCAGGACCTCACCCCACCCCTGGAGCTCTGCATCAGGACCAAGTGAGTGGGCCGCGGGCCGGCTCCGCGGTGATGGGGCATGTGTGTGGGGGTGGGGCTGGGGGTGCTGCTGCCAGCTGGGGCCTCGCAGGCCTCTCTCCCAAGGCTGCGGCCCCAGTGGGGTCTGGAGGAAGGCAGGTCCGGCCACCCGGGCGGAGGCCTGGGCTGGGCAGTGGGAGGAGGTGCCCGGTCAGGAGGCAGGAGGGGGCGAGGGGCCTTCCTTTGGCAGCCTGGGGCATGGGGGGCAGCCCCGGCCTCAGTCAGAGGCAGTGATCCCCCAACCCCATCCTGCAGCTCTGGTCATGAGGCAGTGCCTGGTCTGGGGTCTGGGTGTACACCTCACTCGTCCAGCGTCCAGGAGCCAGGGCAAGGACGGGGCTACTCAGCACCAGCACTGAACATGCAGGAGGGAAGGAGGGAGGGAGGAGGCCGTGGTGCTGGCCGTGGGGAACAGGAGCGCACCTACGCGGCCCACAGAGCTGCCCCCAGAGCCTGCCTTCACCTGGTCACCGCAGAGGCCTCCAGGAGCCCGGCTGCCGCCCGGCCGCGTTCTCTCACTCCGCACACACCTCATTGCTACTGACTGCCTCTCCCTGGCCTACGGCCTGCACCCTGCGTCCACTGAGGCTGGGCTGGAGGGATGTGGTGTGAACCGGGCCTGGGCCTGGGCCTCTCCCGGCCGCTGCAGGGGCCTCCAAGGGACCTGGGATAGAGCTGCTGGGACCCAGGGCTCCACGTGGCCCCGAAGAGAGCAGGGTGGGGCCGGAGAAGCGCAGCATCCACATCGCATCTGCCGGCCGCTCAGTCCATCCACCTGCCCGCCCCGGCAGATGAGGCATTCCTGCGGGGTCAGGGCCGGCTTTGCTGGGCGGCAGGATTAAAGGCGCGGACGCGGCTCCCTTTCATGTACAAAGGCCCCTCATTCCGGGTGATGAGAGAGGCCGGGGCGGGGTGGGAGGCCAGCGCACAGCCTTCCTGCAGGTGGGCCACGAGTGGGCCGCACCCCTGCAGGCCCCGTCTGTCTCTGTCCCTTCCGGCAGCGCCCACTTCTGAACCTCGGAACAGCCCCACCCCCAGCCAGCTTGGCGCTATGACTTGGGGGTGGGGGGGTCTGTCTCCCCACCTGCCTGGGGCGGCCCCTTGCCCACTGCTGGTAGATTGGGAGGCTCAGTCTAGCACATCTAGGGGGTCTCCCCTTATCCCAGGCTCCCCTCCTCCCGGCCTCTTTTCTGTCATCCCTGGTGACTATCACTTGAGGCGTGGCCACACCATGGGCCGGGAGCTGGCTGGCCTGGTTGCCCGGCCCTGGCCACACTCACCGTCATGGAGGAGCTTGGGGCAGGCTGAGTCCAGCACCCTGTCTGGTGGTCCTTCTGACCCAGGGCTGGGGTGCTGTCCCCAGCAGTGCCCGTGGGGCCACATGACCTTCCTGCACTCTGCTGCCTGCCTGCTCCGTGAGCCCCACCTGGGTCCCCTGGCCATCGTCAGAGCCAGCCTGGGCCTGGGGACAGTGGTGAGGGGGGAACGGCTGGGCCTTCCCCCATAGCCAGAGGCAGCACCCAGCCCAGAGGGCGTGAGCCAGGGTGTGGGTGCAGGGCCAACAGGGACTGGCCCGAGAGCACTCTGGGGTCTGCCCGCATGCCCAGTGGGAAGGAGGCGTGCCAGGCCCCTCCAGTCCCAGGCACCTGTCTGGCTGGGGCTGAGGGCAGTAGAGCCCCCTGTGGCCCAGCCCCATGCCAGGAGCATCTTGCTCTCAGCACACAGCTGAGACTGGGGCCCATGGGCTCTATGGGGTGCGCTTTCCGCCTCAAACCAGCACTGCAGGAGATGGTGGGGCCAGGCCCTGGGGCTGTCCAGGTTGTTCCAGCCTGGCAGGGTCCTCCTGCCACACCAGAGTCCCCAGAGTTGGGGGGATCGGTAACCCCAGGCCCCACCTGTGGCCACGGCCAGCCCCTGAAGCTTAGACCTGCCTGTCCCCGCCCAGGGAAAGGTCACTGAGTGGGCGGCCGACTTCCGGTCACCTGGCTCTGTTGCCTAGCAACATTGCACAAGCGCAGACACCTGGGACAAGAGCATCCCAATTCGAATCACCCCGGCCCAGCTCCTATCTCTCTACTCCCCAGTGACGCACGTCTCGGCCTCGTGTCCCGAGTCAGGAACATGGGGTCTGTCCCCCGCCCTTCCTCCATGGAAGGCCCTGGCCACTGACACAGACAGAGACACACTCCAGGGGCCTCTCCCGAGCTTCAGGCAGCTGTCCTGGGATGGATGGGAAGAACCCCCCCACCCCCACTGTCCCCGCCCCTTGCCAGCTGCAGCTCAGGTCCGAAGCTGCAGACGTGCCCAGACTGTGCCTTCCAGGGGCCGGGCTGATGCCCATCCCATGCTGTGCCCACATTCACTTGTCTTGCTGACTCTCCGTCCACAAGTGGCCTCTCTCTTCCGTGGAGGTGTCCTGGGTCCTGCCACTGGTCCCTGCGCTTTCTGGCTTCCCAGTGTGAACAGGCTGTGTTCACTCTGTGCCCCCCACCCGGCCCCCACCCGTCCACCACCAGCACCTTCACTTTTCCCTAGGGTCCTTGGGGTGCACACGCTCTTCCTGAGGTGGGGTGAGGGAAGGGGCCAAAGCTCATCCTTCCGCCCGGGCACTGGAAGGGTTCTCACCTGTGGAGGGGGTGGGAGGTCCCCCCTCATCAGCACCCTAGGTCCAGGCACTGAGATTGGACATCAGCTCTGGCCCTTGAGAGGGTCAGCGGGCAGGGAACCCCCACCCCCAGCTACCAGGCCAGGAAGAGCTAGACAGAGGAGCGAGTCCCAGGGGGGCAGGATGGGCCAGGCCGGGTGGTCAGCAGCCCCAGCCGCAGTCCAGAGCCACTTTGGTTCCAGGGTCAGGAGCAGGAGGGAAACTGGAGTCCACTAAACTGGCACTCAGGCCCCTCCCGGGGCCCAGGGGTGCTCAGGGCCTGCTCCTGGCCGGGCCGGGAATCAGACCTCAGACCGAGGGGTGCTGCAAGCAAGGCAAGTAAGTGCCTTACCTCGGGCCTTGTTCTCTAGCCCCCGCAGGCTGTATGTTTCCCCTTTCTTTATTTTGATTTTTCAAGATCTTTCCCCGCCACTTTATTTGAGCACCATGGTTTACAGAGTTGTCCGTGATGGTTTGTGACAGGCGTTTCAGTATTCCGTTTCCCCTAGAGCCTGCCCCCGTCGCAGGCCCCCCTCCCCCCATAATTTATTTTGTATTGCTTGTTACCAGTAAAAGGCTAGCAAGAGGATCAAAAAAATATTCCTATAGAAGAACGTTTGTGAAAATTGTCCCCCTGGGGACAAGTAAGTCCTTGTCTGGGGGGTTACTGAGCCGCTGTTGCAAGTTAAGCTTCTGTGCGAAAGCTTTCGTCAGTCGAGACTGGTCAGCTTCCTTGCCGCACGCCGCCCTGCCACCCCGTCTGGCGTGCTCCGCTGGGATGCCAGCTTCCAGAGATCGGAGATGTTGCGTGCTCAGATGGGGCCACGTGTTCGGCTGTATTTCTGCAGGTCACTCTGCAGCCGGAGCTGCCCTCTCCTCCTTGAAGCTAAACTAGGGGGGAGTGAAGAGGCCTGGAGTGACCTCAGGTCATTGGGCTCATTGAGCACCTTGGCCCTGCAACATGTGTACATGAATGAAGCTCATAAGCCTGGGCACTATCGTAAACCTGGGACCTAAACTATAGCAATGATGTGTTTTTTTTGTGGGGTGCAAGAGGGGCAGGTTGGCATATGCCCAGCCATGCTTAGGGCTCGGTCCCCACCCCTGGCTGTGTGCCCAGGGATCATTCCCGGGGGTGCCGGGCATCAGGTCAGCCTTCTGCATGGCAAATGTCTTGTCTTTACACTGTACCAACTCTCCAGCCTCTCTCTCTCTCTCTCTCTCTCTCCCTCTCTCTCTCTCTCACACACACACACACACACACACACACACACACTTCTTTTAAAATGTAAAAATAATAAAAGTTAAACAGGACCGTAGTGATAGCAGCAGGTAGGGTGCTTGCCTTGCACACAGCTGACCTGGGTTCGATCCCCAGCATCCCATATGGTTCCCCTGAGCACCACCAGGAGTAATTTCTGAATGCAGAGTCAAGAGTAATCCCTAAGCATCACCGGGTGTGACCCAAAAAGCCAAAATCATCATCAGCAGCAGCAGCAGCAGCAGCAGCGTGAAGCCCGGCCTGCCTCTGCTTGCCGCAGTTTTTCTCCGGCCTAGACCCCAGAACATGGTTTATTGGTGCCGGCCAGGCTGGGCTATTTGTGCTTCTTTTGGTTTTTGTCCTCTTGGTGATGGCCATCATTGGGAGCGATTTGGGATTCTGGGGGACATTGGCAAAGTCTGGTGATAACTTTAATTGTCACAGCCAGGGGAGGGGCCCTGAAGGCCCCACATGCCCAGGAGAGAAACCTCCTTTCCCCTGAGAGAACCATCCAGACCCACAGTCAGCGGCCAAGGTGGACCAACCATGTGTAGGATTGTGCTGGAAACTGGGGAGGCTGCTGTGACCCAGGGGCTGCTGGACTCCGGGAATCTTCTGCGACCCCAGGAGTCTGCTGGGATCCCCCTCCCCCAAGTGTCTTCTAGGACCCTGGAAGTCTTCTGCGACCCCAGGAGTCTACTGGGATTCTGAAAGTCTGCAGGGACCCCAGGACTCTGTTGGGATCCCAGAGCTCACTCCTGAGTGCCCACCTCACCCCCTCTCACCTGTCCCTGGGCCCTGTGCAGTCTCTCCCCTAGTGACTGATTTGCACTGATGGCACCTTCCTGCCAGGGACTGCCCACCCTGGCAGAATCTTCCTGTCTCCCAACTCTGGTCCTGCTCTGGGGGCTCCCCCTGGCTGATACAGCTTCTCACGGGGGTTCCCAGCACTCTCCAGCCGGGGCCCCCCCTGGGCTGGGCTGGGCTGGGCTGGGTCATGATCTCTGCTGAGAGCTTCAGGACTAAGCGCCAGGGGCCAGAGTGGTGGCCCGCGCGGGGAAGGCCTTGTCCTCTGAGCTCCACCAGGAGTGACTGTTGGTGTGATGTGGCAGGGACCAACTGCTGGGGGCTGGGGTGGGAGTGAAGGCGGGGAGGAAGGAGAGGGGCGGGGAGTGATGCTGGAAGCCTAGCCATGCTGTCACCCTCGCCGTGACCTCCGCAAACCCAGGCCTGCTGCCTGGTGGGGACCTCGGGAAATCAGGGTGCAAGAGGGGGACTTCCTGCAGTACAGCCTGTGAATGGCCTGAGGAGAATGAGGGGAGATCTCAGCGTGCTTGGGGGCATGAGTGGAGCCTGGATGGTGTTGCCAAGGCTGGTTCCGAGAGGAGCCTGGTCCCTAGGGGCTGGGCTAGCCCCCCTCCCGGGCAGGGGTGCTCGGCCCCTCACCCACTGCATCTCACCAAAGTAGCTGCGCAGGACCAGACTGGGCTCTTCTCCCGGCCCCAAATGGAGTCCCAACGATTACAACGAGTGTCTGTGAGCCCCAGAGCCCCACTGTGGGCTCTGGGCACCTACCTCAGCCCCTCAGGAGGAGGCCAGAGTGCCAAGATGCCAGGAATGCAGAGCCCTTCCCGTCCAAGGCAACCAGGAACAAGGTCTGACATGATGAGACCCTACAGAAGGCAGCGTCAGTGTCAGCACAGCATCACGCCATCGGGGCTCAGGACATAGCAGAGGCCTCCCTTGGGGCTTCTCAAGCTGACCTCTGCAGGTGTGAGCTGGGCCTCTGCAAGGAGTGACCAGGCCTCGGCAGGGAGTGACCAGGCCTCTGCAGGACACAAGCTGACCTCTGCAGGGAGTGACCTGACCTCTGCAGGACACAAGCTGACCTCTGCAGGGAGTGACCAGGTCTCTGCAGGGCATTACCAGGCCTCTGCAGGTAGTGAGTGACCAGACCTCTGCAGGACATGAGCTGACCTCTGAAGGGTGCAGGCTGGCGTCTGCTGGAAACAAGCTGACCTCTGCAGGGAGTGACCAGGCCTCTGCAGGGCTCTCAGGCAGGCTTGTCGGCCTCTCTAGACCTGCCTTTGAGCCTGGGGCAGGAGGACGCAGGGGTGTCTGGTTCATGGTGAACTGGCACCGGTAAGAAGGAAAGAGCAGCCTGGGGGCCACAGAACCTTGCTGGGGACATCTTCCAGCCTTCTGCCTGGGGACAGTGGCACGAGCGGATGGGACATTCCAGCTTCCTAAGACGACGGAGCTTCATGGCTGAGAGCATCCTCCCTCGCTCGCTCACCAAAGTCTGTCTTGCTGAGTCTTAGACAGGAAGCTGCAACCCAGCGAGCTTCTGTGGGTCAGGTGACAGTCCTCCAGAAGTCCACTGGCACGCACCATGCCATGCATGTCCAGACTGTGAAACGCATCACAGTCTCCAAGTCTCCACTAGTCTGGCCCTGTAGAGCCCTCTGGGGAGCGAAGAGAACGCACTTTAAATTGTTCCCAAACGGGCCACATGCAAATGTCACCTCCTGTCCTCCCTGCAGGCACAAGCGTCACGGGCAGGCAGGCTCTTGAACAGTTTTCCTCCATGTGGCAGGAAGTATTTTTGCTCATCTGAAGGGGAATGGCATGGTGTGAAGCAGGTGATATACTCACGGCGGGGGGCGGGGGACTGCAGGCTTCACGGGATTCCTGGAGCTCCCTGTGGCCAGCGGGGTGAGTGTCTGTGGCAAGCGAGGCCTTGAAGCGTGGGGGTCAGAGACAAAGGAAGCTGATGCGGGCCTGCAGAGCCAGGACAGCGTGCAGGACACCTGCCCTTCATGCTGCATCCCCAGTGATCCTCATGCCTGCCAGGAGTAAGTTCTGAGCACAGCCAGGTGTGGCTCCAAAAACCAAAACAGGAGGAACAACAAAAGGAGCTGCTGAGCTCCTGAGAGGAGGGGCAAGTGGTGGTTCTTGGAAATGGAGGGGTTGGGCGCTCCCGAGGCCAGAATGGAGTCCCTCGATGGCCGTAGACCTTTGGCTGGGGAGCCGCATCTTCCTGGGGCACTCCTGTTTCCTCCCTTCGTGCCTCAGTACCGGGCTTCAGCCTTGGAGGAGGATGGACCCCTCTACTGCTGAGACGGCTCAAGAGACGCTCCGTCTGCCGGGCCGATCCTTGCTCCAAGTTGCTCAGGAGACGGGGGACAGACGGATATGAAGCACGGGGAAGACTGCGTGGGCTCGTGGCTGTGACTTTCATCTGGAAACGGCACCGTCATCACGTTTTTCGAACCCTGGCTTCTGGTTTAATTGTGTGTAGTGCTGCCTGCAGCTCCAGAAATTTTTTTTTTTTAACAAATGGCAAGTCTGTGTTTCAAGGGGCTGCTCACAGCCTTTCACTGACTTCTGGTGGCTCTTGGAATGAAGCTCAAAAATCCTTAACGTCTCCCAGGTCCCTGGAGGTGTCCCGGCAGCCCTCCACTCTCTCTCTCTCTCTCTCTCTCTCTCTCTCTCTCTCTCTCTCTCTTAATTTATTGAATCACCATGAGAAAGTTACAAGCTTTCATGTTTGGGTTACAAACACCCATCCCTCCACCAGTGCACATTCCCCACCACCAATCTCCCCGGTATACCCACCCTCCCCCCACCTCCCTGGCAGACAATATGCCCCATACTCTCTCTCTCTACTTTTGGGCGTTGTGGTTTGCAATACAGACACCGAGAGGTAATCATGTTTGGTCCTTTATCCACTTTCTGCACACATCTCCCATTCCGACTGATTCCTCCAACCATCATTTTCTTAGTGATCCCTTCTCTATTCCAGCTGCCTTCTCCCCTCCGCTCATGAGGCAGGCTTCCAGCTATGGAGCAATCCTCCTGGCCCTTGTATCTACTGTCCTTAGGTGTCAGCCTCATGTTGTGTTGTTTTATACTCCACAAATGAGTCCAGTCCTATGTCTGTCCCTCTCTTTATGACTCATTTCACTTAGCATGATACTCTCCATGTCTATCCATTTATAAGCAAAGTTCATGACTCCCTCTCTCCTAACAGCTGCATAGTATTCCATTGCGTAGATGTACCAAAGTTTTTTTAACCAGTCATCTATTCTAGGGCATTTGGGTGGTTTCCAGATTTTGGCAGCCTCCCACTCTCAGCAGGTCTCCCCCAGTGCCATGAGCATTAGGGTGGCCCCTGAGGAAGTAGCGCCATAACTATGGCCCCATAAGACAAGCACCAGGCACTGTGGGTTCAAGCAGATTTGGGGTGCTTGGGTCCCTCCCACGGGCTGAGAGCCCCATGATGGCCACAAATGCCCGGAGGAGGGGTGCATCTGGGCGGGGCCCAGGTGTGCTGCGGTGCTGTGGGGGGCTGAGCAGGGCCGGGTGGGCATCTCTGACTCTTTCTCTGCTCCTCCCTCACAGGTGGAAGGGCGCCTCCGTGTGCTGGAATGGCTCGGACCCCATCCTGTGACCCCGGAGGGGCTCCCTTACTCACCCCTGGGGACTGCAGAGCCCCAGACCTCAGGGACAAGTCCCCGAGAAGAGCTGCACCCTCACCTGGGCCTGCACTGTGGCAGTAGCGCCCAGAACCTCCCAGCCTCCCAGCACCTTCCGGAAGGGAAGCACAGGCCAGGGAAGGCCATGGCGAAGTTGCCCGGCTCCTGCCCGCCCACTGTGTCTGCTGGCAAGAGCAGGACGCAGCCTGTGCCTTCTCCCCACCCCCAACTGCCCACGGGCTGTGCCCTGGACCAGACCCTCCCCCCCCCCCAAGGAGCCTGGCCAGGGGTCCTGGACGCTCCTAATTTTGGTCCTTTTATAAAGAAGGACCGAGGGTTGAAATGTGTGTGTCCTGTTGTGTCGAGGGTTGAAATGTGTGTGTCCTGTTGTGTCGAGGGTTGAAATGTGTGTGTCCTGTTGTGTCGTGTGTCTGTGTGGATGAGGCCAGTGGGGGCCCAGGGCCCTGCAGACCCCCACCAGCCTCCACCGGGCCCCCATAGCACCTGAGAGAGCTCTGCACCGGGAAGACCTGGGGCCACTCTTCCTGCGGCTTCCGGCTGGGTTGACCTGCTGTGCAGCACCCCTGCCCCTCATCCAGGCAATAGGGGCCCAGGGGGGCGCAGAAAGAGTGAGCCCGGCAGAGGGAATGGCCCTTGACAGCAGGGATGGTGGGGACAGAGGATCCAGTGTCACTCATGCAGTGATAAAGGAACTGGCGAGTCCTTCACCCATTCACGGGCCTGACTGGTTTCAGAAGGAGCGTGGAGACAGCAGGGCTGGGAGCAGAGGCTGTAGGGGCCCATGGGCAGGGGTCCCTGTGCCTCGGGGAGATGGGAGGGCCCCTCTGAGCTCAGCCATGAAGGGCCCGTGAGTGCAGCTGTCCCTGGAACACTCCTGCCTGAAGGCGAGCCAGGCCCAACCCCCTGCCACCCGGGTCCCACTCAGCCTGTCTCCCAGCCCACGGACGGCTCCCTCTCCCTCTTCAGGTGTCCCCTGGCAGTGGCGGCCACCCCGGGCCCTACCATGCGTGTGGGGAGAAGGTGGGAACGGCTGGGTCGGGCTGCCTCCCCACCCCCCGCAGGCCCCTGGGCCTTGGCTGCGTGAGCTCCCACTTCCCTGGCCATTCACAGCAGGCGTCCGCAGAAACGCTTCCTATATGTCCCCGAACAGTGGGGGCATTTGTTTTCCTTGGCTGGCCGGCCGCTGCAGCCCCGGCCTGGCCCGAGGAAGTCGGCCTCCCTGCCACAGCCTTGTTTATCAGCTTGGGAAGGAAAAGTGTCTTTTCAATGAAACTCACTTAACCTCCTGACCAGTGTCCCTTGGCAAGCCCAGAGAAATCAAAATATTCCCCACATTGCAGGGGGGCAGGGGAGGGGGCCGTTCCAGCAGATCACAAAGGCTTCTTTCTGGAAGCCCGAAGTGTGGCCACCTGCAGGGGGGCGCCCTTGGCTCCGGCCTCCTGGAATGGGTGACGTGTGATGGACGACCCAGGGCCAGGCCCGCCAGGGTGAGACCTAGCTAGGCAGCGGCACTGAGCATGCAGGCACACTCTCTCCGTGCAGGCAACTTCTCGGGGTGGAGTGCAGGCAAGCTGCAGAGCGCTCATAGCCCCCCACAAAGCCTATTAAAATCTTTGTGTGAGGGCCTGGGCATGTGGTTGGCAATGCATTGTGGGGCCCTGAGTTTGATCCCTGACCTGGCATGGTACCCTGAGCACTGCCAAGAGTGAGCCCTAAGCACAGAGCCAGGAGTGAGCCCTGAGCACTGCCAGGAGTGAGCCCTGAGCACAGAGCCAGGAGCGAGCCCTGAGCAGAGCCAGGAGCAAGCCCTGAGCACAGAGCCAGGAGCAAGCCCTGAGCAGAGCCAATAGTGATTTCTGAGTGCAGAGCCAGGAGCGAGCCCTGAGCACAGAGCCAGGAGTGAGCCCTGAGCACTGCCAGGAGTGACCCTTGAGCACAGAGCCAGGAGTGAGCCCTGAGCACAGAGCCAGGAGTGAGCCCTGAGCCAGGAGTGAACCCTGAGCACAGAGCTGGGAGTGATCCCTGAGCACAGAGCCAAGAGTAAGCCCTGAGCACAGAGCCAGGAGTGATCCCTGAGCACAGAGCCAGGAGTGAGCCCTGAGCACAGAGCCAGGAGTGATCCCTGAGCACTGCCTGATGTGGCCAAAAAGATGAAAGAATAAGTCTGTGCAAGCCTGGAGAGACTTGAAAGGGTTGTGACAGGCTCAGGGTCCGTCCCCAGCACCTCAGCACCAGCCCGAGTGCCACATGAGCCACCCCAAGCCCAGAGCCACATGTCTCCCTGAGCATTTGTCAAGGGGCAGCCCCAGGCCAAGGCTTGTCTTTGGGCCCTGTGAGCAGAGCAGTCAGTGGGACCGGTGGCCCCTGGCACCATACACCCGCCATGCCCAGTGTTCCCTACCCCTGCTTCTCCGGGGGACCCCAACCATGTGAAACTCATGTGTCAGGACCCAACACCCATCTGCCCCCCACCGTACCCAGTGGAGCCCACCCACTCCACACAGCCCCAGGAATACACGAGGTTGTTTCCAGAAGGCCACACACACCCCCCCACCCAGCCTGTCTCCCTGCTCTGGGCCTCGTGTCCAGCGGTGGGGGGCACTGCCAGCCTGCCCCAGTGGGCTCTGGAGAGAGTAGTCACCCTCTGCCAGGATACCCTGAGGCCCCCTGCAGAGAGGTGCTCATCCTCCTGACCCAGGGGCAGGTGGAGAGTTCGTCCTGCTGGGCAAGCCCCTGGCATGCCTGCATCCTGCCTGGAGGAATTGGGTGGGAAGACAGGTCCCAGAAGCAGCAGCGGGTGCCCGGGGGCTGGGGGCCTGGAGTGCAATTAAGCAGGACCCCTCCTGGACGCTGAACAGAGGGAGGTCAGGAGCCCAGGGAGAGAGGCAGAGGCAGGCCAGCCTGGGGGGACCCCAGGGCCTGCATCTACACCACCAAAGGACTTCCCTGCCCCCGCCCGGATGCGTCCTGAGTGAGGAGGGCAGAAGGCCCCCTCCTACGGGCTCCCGAAAGGTAGAGGCGGCCTCCCTCAGAGTCAGCTCAGGGCATGTGACTCCGCGGCTGTGTTCTAGGGCACGTGACTCCGTGGGGACCTCGCGGGCAACGTAGTGGCCAGCTCCCAGCTTCTGTCCACGGTGCAGCCGCACCCCGTCAGGCTGCTCCCGCCCCTGCCTTGCCTGGCCCCAGGGCTCTTGACCTGACTCCCCAGGGCCCGTCTCCCGGTCTCCTGGCTGGGCCAGCGACACCTCACAGGGCTGCAATGCGGGTGGGGTGAGTGGGTGTTGGAAGAGCACCTGGAGCCCTGCCCGGGGGGCACAAGGCGCAATGAAGTGTTTGCTCTGCAGACTCGCTCGGTGGTGGGGGGGGGTGCTGGGGTGGCTCACCTGGGCTCAAGGCGGGAGGAGGCAGGCGGGGCCCCCAGTCAGCTCCGCAGGGGTTCACTAGAGGCGGGTGGGACGACGGGACGGTGCCGGCGCCCTTCGCCCGGGCCACTCTGCGCTGTCCCCGGCTCTCCCTGCCAGGGGTGCTGCCCTGCAACCCGGAAAGAGCCCCAGGCAGGGGCCAGGCACTGAGCCCCTCCTGTGGGTGACACCCACCAGGGGCCACCGGGTCCTTCCCAGGTCCTGCGGCTGGCTGGAGGCCTCGGGCTGCCCGGGCTGTTGGCAGGCGCCTCTCTCCTGCCCAGCCTGGCACAGCCCAGCCCTCACGCGGCTGTGGGAGCACGACTGGCAGAGAAAAACACCCGGCATCTGCGATAGTGAAGATTGCTTCATGCAGGGCGGCCGCGAGGGGAGGCGCCCGCCGGACATGCGCGATGCCCAGGGGTTGCTCTGGCCGCCCCGGGCTGTGATACTTTGGGCTTCACACCCCATTCCCCGCAGCACCGCTCACTCTCCTGCCCAGGACCCCCTTGATTTCTGTTCTGTGTCCTGCCCCCCAGGGAAGCTGCCGGGCACGGGGTGTTCCTGGGTGAGCCCGGTGAGGCCAGCATTACTCCAGGGATGCACTCAAAGATGGACATTCTGGCTGAAGGAGCACAACCGAGGGGTCCCAGGGTGCTGCCAACCTGCCTGAGAGTTGGGCTGCTCCCAGGACCCTACCTCCAGGCTCCCCCAGCCACCGCCCTGTCCCCGGTCCCCTTCTCCAGGAAGTCCTCCTGGATCACTCAACTGAAGGAAGAGCTCTACCTCTGGGAGTGCCCATTCTTTCTTTTGTTTTGTTTTGGGGTCACACCCGGTGATGCTCTGGGTTTACTCCTGGTCCTGCAATCAGGACTCACTCCTGGCAGTGCTCAGGGAACCATATGGGATGCCGGATATCGAACCCAGGTTGGCCATGTTAAAGACAGGCACCTGTTGAAGACAGGCACCCTATCCGCTGTGCTCTCTCTCCAACCCCCAGTTTCCACTCTTAGTATTTTTTTTCTTTTTTGGGTCACACCGGCGATGCTCAGGGGTTAATCCTGGCTCTGCACTCAGGAATTAATCCTGGCAGTGCTCAGGGGAACATGTGGGATGACAGGGATTGAACCCAGACCGGCCGCATGCAAGGCAAATGCTCTGCCCTCCCAATCAGTTCCCACTCTTGACCACCTCCTGAGTCCTGATGGGGTCTTAGTCACCCATCAGGTATAAGTGTACCACTCCCTCTTTGTGACCATTGCACACACACACATAACGTACACATGTGTAGCAAGCACACACGCCCCTTACCCTGTACCCCATCTCCTAATCCCTGCGGGCCACCTCTATGTCTCTCATCCCCCTCCCTAGGTTCCTGTCCATCCGGGCTGGGGGTGGGGCAGACCCCTAGCTGATGAAGCCCCAGGCCCACCCTTGCTGGCGCTCACTGCTGTCCCAGCATGGAGTCCCAGCACCTGGGGCAGCCGACAAACCCTCCCGTCTCAAAACCGTTGATTTCGGGTGTGCTTGGAGATGAAAACTGGCGCCTTTCCTGTGAGCGCTGATAAAAGTAATCCTC